TAATAAACGATAAATAATCCTCGCGAAGCAGCGCTAAACAAATAAGGCCTTATTAGAGGATAATAAGGGTTATTAAAGTTTATTAAAGTTTATTAGAGGTTATTAGCCTTTAATATGGTCTTATTGAGGTCTTATTTGTTTGCCTACTTGGGGACCATGTTTCCAACAATCTGGGGGTTCATTTCTGGGGGGGTCCCCCTCGTTTCCTTTGAATTATATAGCGATATGGACCCATGCCCAAGATTAGAGCCAATGCTATGCTGCCAATATCTTTTTAGCATCCTTATAAATGTTTAAATTTCATCATGTACACATAACTCGATTTCTTTTCCTATGTATATGCTATACATATACATATATATATATATATATGTGCATATATATATATATATATATATATATATATATATATATATCTATAGAGACCCCACTTGTATATACAGTCAATATATCTGGTCTAACTATAACTATATTCATCCACCATACGGTGCATATGACAGTTCACCCTGCATAACCATATAATTCCATGAGGATCATATGTGGACTATGTGTGTGCATAACATGTACTCGGTGTGCATCTACACATGCAGTGGTTCTTTCACAAAAATGAAATGCAACAATCCCCAGGCCCCGATCCTGGCACCATCAGACTTCCTCAGGCCTTTCGTGAGGTGGGTCAGCATGCTGCGGAAGCGAGCACCTTCAACTCGGCCCCATTCCTCGGGGGGGATCGAAACTGGTTCAGTATCCTAGCCATACAAATGCCCATGAGCAGAAAACCTCTCCGATACCCTGTCTAACTTGATGCAAATGAGCTTCGCGACAACGGCCTTTTCCTCCACGCATGTGGTATATGCATTCTCCGTGAAGATTCAAGCTGATGCTGAGGCATAGGAAGGCTACCTCGAAGTCAGCTAGAGGCGCAATCTTCGGCGCCACTTCCAATACATATTCCTTGACCAATGTGTAGTTGGCCTCTAAGTCTGAGTTGTACACCTCGGATGTGGACTTATTATATAATGTGTGTGTACTGCCTCTGTTAACCTCATATACTGACTATGTATGTGTGTGTACATATTTCTTATTCATAACATGAAAGTATATATTTACTTTATATGCAGCAAAAATGCATACACACACCATGCACGGTCATCCCCAAATGATGCGATCATCTCCATACTCAAGCTGCGGATAAGTGGCAGCAGCTTTCTCACGGCCAGCCCACTCCACAAAGGAACGCTCCTGAATCCGTGTACCCCGTGATGTGCTGCTGTGTGTGAAAAAAACAACTCGAACAACCGAAATGATCCCCGAGTAGTGCATGGAAAGGGACCAATGGTGTGGGAACTGCCATGATCTCTGCAAGCTGCGCTTTCAGGATGGGCAGCAGGGTGTCGTGGATTTGGTCGGCCTCTTCCTTGCATATTGTTGAGTTTCATCCTTATAAAGCTCCTATCGCACTTCTGTCGAATCGCCAGAAAAGTCTACACTCCACAACCGATGCTTGCAAGGCACTGACACATGAATGGTCATCGGAGTCTTCAGGGTCCTATAAGAGGGCTTCGACTCCATTGCACTTGCGCGGGCTGCCCCAGCTGGGACACCAAAAACCCAAACAAGTGAGCGAAAAAAAGTCTGCAACGAACAGAATCGGCACGGGCAATCAATGCAGACATGTTGTACACAGCCCAATGAAAGCACATCAGGTGCACAGCTGCAGAGCATGCAGTGGGAGGGCGGACCTTGTGCCCTGTTGTGCCCCAGGTACGCCGATTGGCGCAAGAGACCCATGGTACGACACACACATGCTACAGTTAATTAGATATTGGCCTACTGTGCTCACACATGTATGTCCAGGCACATGCTTCGTTACAACATGCTGATCGAAAAACCTTCAGGTGTACATCTTCTACACCATGTGCAGGAACCCGATGCTCAGAACTCCATGCATAACGGTCTGATCTAGTTGTAGCAACATACTTTACATATACACGCACATCTATATGTAAATATGCATATATTATTACTTGCAGATGTATAACACATGTACCTGAGCCTGGGAAGGGCAGAGTCGCGAAGGTGCAGCCCACCCAGCCTCTGCGCGGGTGCACTTAATAACCCACGACCCTGCAAAAACAGCCTAGAATTGCATATTTGAGGCCTTTCCGAAAAAGGTCCTGAATACAGAATAACCCTGGAAAGACCCTCCTCCCGAAGCGATTTCAAGAGTATATGATTATCGGGTCCTCGGACCCTTAGGGTAACTGGAGCCGCTACCCCATGACCTCGTTGTTGAGTGGTACATTAAGCAAATTCACTTCTTTTTGATCATGATCAACTTCAAAGACGCTTTCTGACCAGGTGGTTTTGGTTTTAGGACCAGCCCCGAAGCCGACTGATGTTCATGAGGCCACGGCTGATGCTCATGTTTCTACACGTCCTAGAGTTTCCAGATTCCAGATTTGCAGGATAAGTTTCCAGATTCCAGATTTCCAGGCTCTAAGATTCCAGATTTCCAGATTTGCAGGCTCTAAGATTCCAGATTCCAGATTTCCAGATTTGCAGGCTCTAAGTTTCCAGATTCCAGATTCCAGATTTCTGGAAACCTTAGGGTTTCCAGATTCCAGATTTCCAGATTTGCAGGCTCTAAGTCTCCAGATTCCAGATTCCAGATTTCTGGAATCCTTAGGGTTTCCAGATTCCAGATTTCTGGAAATGTGGAAACCTTAGGGTGAGCAAATCTGGAAATCTGGAATCTTAGAGCCTGCAAATCTGGAAATCTGGAATCTGGAATCTCTGGAAACATAGTGCATGCAAATCTGGAATCTGGAAACCTACGTACTGCAGAAAGCCGGAAATCAGGAAATCCAGACTCCGAAAACCTGCAGACGTAGATCTTGGGGGGGGGGGGGGGGGGGGGGGGCGAGCATATATATATATATATATATATATATATATATACATATATATATATACACACATACATACTGCATGTATTTCTGTATACATGTGTGTGTACATAATCTAGTTATCTATTAGTTTACTCCTTCACGTGTTGGCTTGATTCGTTGGCGCGACACGATCCTGTCGAGAGCCTGACCCTGTCAGCTTATCAACAAATCACGCAACAACATGCCCAACCCTAAATCAACCCTACTGTAGGACCCTGACTAAGTAGAATCGGACTTCATAGCGGTAATCGAGCATAATTTCTCTTATCGGCCGTAAAATGAAGAACTATATGTTTGTACCAAGTCTTTAAGCCCAGACATTCAACCAACCTCGCACGGCTTAGGACCGAAAGCCCAGTCTGTGCCATGTCGAGTTGCTGAGGGCAGCCTCCCACTGTCCCGCACGATCGCAAGCGGAAATGGCAGCACCGAAGCTCACCACATTCCTAGGCTTTAAAGAATTCAGGCTTCTAAATTCCCGATATGCACCTCGTGTTGTATAGATATCTGTGCATATGTGCAGGTACAACATGGAGGCGTACGCACATTTGTGGCGATTGCGGTTTGTCGCCGAATCTCCAGGGGCTGCTCAACCCGCGCCCTCCAAGAAAATGTTCCCAAAGGTGTGCATGTGAAGCTTTGGAGACGTCCGACTACGCCGACTGATTTACCTGGCCATCTAAGGGAACCGAATATAAAGTTCTGCCAGAAGGATGCTGAAAAGCCTGGCAATATAGAACAATATGGCCGCCCGAGCCCCACTTCCCAGTCCAAACCCATTCATGCCGGCTTCTCTGCCAGAGTTGCACAGGCAAGTGCAGCGAACTATAGTGTGAACGTTACGAACACAAACTGGGTGCGCTTACCTTGAATGTGACTGCCACAGTTCCCTCGTCATCGTTGAGAACCCAGGCTTCGACCCAGGGTTCATAATTGCAACGTGAAGCCTGTAGCAAGTGCTGTCAGGGCTACCACTGTGGCGCAACCATCAAGAACGATGGTTGACAAGTTGCGACGTCGTGTCCATAGTGCTCTGTTCTTGCAACTACGGCTTGGCCCATGGGTTACTTGTGATTCCAGTGGCTCTGAAACCAGCATCTCCTGGTGAGTCGGGTCAGATGTTAAGCACCGCTATTTGCAGCTTTGTAAACTTTGCGGCTGTAACTCTTCACACGGCTGTCACTGTCTATGTGAGGATATATTGGTACATATCCTCTTCTTGTGGGCCTAGGTGTTGAACTGTGAACATCACCCCCTCCATCCAGAAAAAAGCACCGATCACCGAACCCACCAATCAAGGCTTATTACACATTAAACCTGCGTAAGACTAGAGTATAGCCCCCCAAAAGCCACCTCTCTAGATGGAATAATAAAGGGGCCTGAATAATTAGAATAGGATTTCGGGGCCCATCAAACTATAATTACAAGCGGGAACCCCCACAATAGTGTAGGTAATTATTGAGGCCCCTATAGTACATTACATTGGGCTTGAAGCTGAACGAGGCTCGGCTGCAGCTGGCGCCTGGCAAGTGCAGGAAGCTGTGCGTGACGTTTAAAGGCGTGGTAGCTTTTCAGGAGCCTGAAATACATGACGGCTTGTTTCTACGCGTGTTTTGGGGGGTTACGGCTTAGGCTCTGTTCGGGATTGAGGGGTGCACCCTATTGCGGTAAGGTGTAGCAATTGAGGACATGAATCCAAAGTGCGGGCATGGGCATGCCTGCTTGAATCGTGGGGTACTCACGGTTTGGGTGTTTGTAACTGCCTTGTCCCTTCTATCGTCTGCAGTGTTGGTGTACTCTTCTCCTTGCTGCGATGCTTCCTCTATTGCCTTGTGTTGGCACATAGCAGGAGTTGAGTAATCGTTTGCAAGTAGCACTACAGGCAGCACCTAAAACTACCTACAACGACAGCCCGAGCCAGCTCTTGATGCTGTTCACTTGCGCAACTTTTAACGCAAAAGGGGACTAGCGGACAGAACACACCCCCGCCTGAGCTCGTACAGTAGGAACCCCCGTGTGCTGCCACCTTTTGACTCCTGCACGTTCGAATCATCGCACCTCTGGGCTGCAGGGAATCTCCCCTGGCAAGTATGTTTTGTACACGTCTGTGGCTTGAGAGACACGACGGCGATGGCCCAACATAGATGGCAATGATGGTGTTTGCGGCTGGGTGGCTGAAAATGTCTCTTTAGTCCAGGGCTGCGGCATCGCTGGGGTTTCAGCTGCACCGGCAAGAGTTGTGCCGATGAAATCACATGCCTCCAGGGCGGTCTTCCACGCCCCGAGCATCAACGACTTGCAGTCGTTCATTGCGCCACTTGCTGCTTCATCTTCGCAGGCGTATCGAAACGTCTCGCAGTTGCACTTAGCGCAGACAGCTTTGGAGCAGTTCCTGGGTCCCAATTTAGGAGGGAGAGGAACCCTGAGGCTCCATGTACCTGTATAGTAGATACTTAGGACTACTTTGGGGCTTAAGTATCTACTATAAAGGTACACATGGCGCCTTTGGGGAAGAAGGAAGCTTGTGACGGGCTCCCCTTCAGACGCTTCGGAAAACCCGAATCACAAAAAGGAAACTTAGGGTTGAGGGGGGGTGGTCCAAGGGGGGTAGGTAACCTAGTAATCCCCATTATTCCCCAATACTCCCTAAGCTTCCCTAAGGTTCCCCAAAGCTCCCTAGTACCCTCCCCCCTTGAACCACCCCCCCTTAAGGATCCTATAATAAGGGTTCTTGCCAGAGAGCCCAATACCCCTGCTTTAAGGAACATACCTTAATTCATTAGGGGCTGCATATTATGCTTTAAGCTGTACAGTGTTCCTTAATTTAAGGGATATTGGGCTTTCTGGGTAAGGGATTAGAGTTTAGGGGTTTCGACTCACACACTCACTCCACGCAGACACGGTTTAGGGGCTTAGGGTTTAGGCTAGTAGATTACTAACCATGTCTACTTGGAGGTTCATGGGTAGTTATAAGTGGGGTTATAAGTCCCCTAATGTGGCTTATAAGTATAGTTACCCCACTTATAACCCTAACTATAACTACCCCTAACCGAGTAAACCCATCTTTCAGTCAATTGGAGCCCAAGGGTAACATTGCCCAGAGAGCCCAATACCCCTTAATTAAGGAATGATCCTTAAATCATTCGGGGCTTCACATTGTGATTTTAGCTATATTCCTTAATTAAGGGGTATTGGGCTCGCTGGGTGGGGAAGCTTCAGGGCTACTTATTGGAATTATAATACCACATACCCCCTGGCCCACCTAACCTAATTATCAAGGCCACTGTATCTCTAAATCGCTTATACAAAGCCTTAGAGTATCCCTTAAAGGAACCCTCATCTAACTATTAATTAAGGGCCCCTCTACTAACATTGGCCAATCTTCGGGCAGCGATGATCGAAGGAAGATCCGAGTGCGTGCTGGCAGCGGCTGCAGGACTCCTGGGTTTAGGTTTTTCCCTTTGGGTTTAAGGTTTAGGGTTTCGGGTTTAGGGTTTAGGGTTTCGGGTTGAAGGGTTTGACGGTTTAAGATTTTGGGTTTAGGGCTTTAGGGAAAATGCGCACAAGTACTTACCCTACTCTGTAACCGGAATATTATGACAAAGGCAAAGTCGTACTACAAGAAGCCGTAGTTTCTGGCGCTGAGTCGGGGCAACAGCTATTGAAGAGTCCGCACCAAAGAGACGAAGAGTCTTCGCCACGGGCTTTGCGGATTTCATGTCGGCTGCGGCCTTGAGAGAAGTGTCGCCAAGTCGGATGAGTCGGCATATAGCCAGGACTGTCCTCAACAGACCCAAAGGCCCAAAGGATCCTAAGTACCTATATGGTAGAATGTGGGGTTTCTGTATTAGGAAAAACTATTATGATTTTGGGAAGTATCCCCCATAACAGTACCTAGGACCCTTTGGGAGATGCTATGCCCGACCAGAAGTAGTCGGAACACTGACGCTGCAAACGTCAGGCTTGATGGGCATTCCAACTGGGAACTTGGGCTGACAAAAGCTAAACCCTACCTCTCTCTCTGTCTCTCTTCTCTTCTCTCTTTTCTCTCCCAGGCATTCGAAACGTCAAGCCCGGCTGCAGGACACCTAAACCCTAACCGAACCCGAAAACCCCAAAAACAAAAAACCTGCTGCCCGGGCCTCTCCGCCGTCGCACTCGGGCTGCGGAGCCTCGAAAGCCAGGACCGTGGAAGCCGGGGAATCTGGTTCCTGAAGGCCGCGAAGGCCGCTGTGGTACCCTGTACCGTAGAGTAAGGTAGTCGATGCAGGCGAGACAGGCACCTGTCTGTCACAGCAGTAGACAGTCGAGGCGGGCGAGACAGGCGCCTGTCGGCTGTAGCATAGTGTAGACGCGGGCGAAAAAGGCGGCTCCTTCTCGAGGAACTCGGACAGAGTGAAGGACTCTGGAATGCCAGGTATCGATCCATAGATTCCGAGGTTTGCAGTAGGCTCCCCCATTGGTGCCGCCGACGTCTCGTCGAGTGCTTCTCTGGGAGCATCAGGGACCGTGGACGCCTTGTGCAAGACATCGGCTACCACTGGCTTCACACCGCACCGGTTGGTCCAGCGCATTGAGGAGTTATGCTCGGCCCGCTCTTGTGGTACAGCTTCGGAAAGGTCCCAATATGGAGCGGAACGTGGGCGCCGGGGCGGAGGGGGCGGAGCGAGAGAGGGTGGAAAAAAGAATCCAGAGCTGGCATCAACGACCTCGCTGGTCTTTGCCGTGCAGAGGTCCTTCAATTCAGACCAAGCCGCGTAAACTGAGCCATACGAAGCCCGAGGGTCTATGGCAAAAGCCGATTCCCAGGGCCAGCCCCAGGATGAAGCACCACCGGCCGGGTCCCAAGGACCAAGCGGAGTAGGCATCTGCTGAGTATGCAAGCAAAGAAGTGGCGTCAGGCTACCTCTAAGCCCGAGGTTCAGCTGCAGTCAGCTTCGGCGTTGCGGCTGAGAAAGTATAGCGCACACCACCAGAAGCCCAACACCGTAAACCCTCTCAGACGAGCACTGAAAAGTGCGGAACTCATCCAGCATCAAGCAAACTCGGGGCAACAGCTTCGGGACACTTTGTACTTGGGTAATATGGGGGCACGAAGTGGCTCGAGACTGTTCCCTGTATTCTAATACTTATTGTCTGAATATTGTACTATACTATACTATACTATACTGTGCTATCACATGCCCTGAAATCAGCAGGTCTGGCACATCGGTAGCCTGTTTTCGCGTCTTACCGCCTCTGTTCCGGGCGAGGAAGACTCTTTAACATAAAAGCATTCGATATGCCATCTACACTCTAGATTTCAATCGTGGAGTCCCGCAGATGCCTGCGGTCATCAGGAGGACTTGTAAAGCCAGCGCGGCAGCTCCAATGCGAATGCCGGAAACGGGCAGGCTGTCCTGTGGCAACTTCAACGTATGGAAATCGCCTCGTTGTCTAACACGTAGTCCCACGACTAGCAGGATGCAAAAGCTCCGGACTCCATCAGGGTGGCAGTAGTTTCCGCGTGGAGGGAGCTGCTTGATGCCCCCTATGGATCGCCCAGTGAACCAGGGTCGAGTCTTGGAAGAAGTCGGCCAGTCGGTCAAGCCTCTAAGCCCCGCTGACCCAACAACAGTTCTTCAATGACTTGTTTCAACTGCAGGACCATGGTCATGTTCATGTATCTTCAGCCTTATATCTTCGAGTCTTCCAAATGTCCGAGAGCAGTCGCACAAGTGTGGCGGAGTCCTTGGTTCCGAGCTAAGTCACCATAACCAGACGGAGCAAGCAAATCTAAACATAGCAGATGCCATGTATCCTGCTTCTGCTCAGTATAGGCTATTGCTCTTATGGATTCTTAAACTCAGCTCATGAACAAGAACCCAAGAGTCGTGCTCTTCGATGGCAGGCATAGCTTCCAGAATCTCAGGCGCAGCATGGTTCAAGTGCCCTGCGGCCACCAGGCAGTTGGCCAAGTCCTGCGGGATCATGACGCTTGCCTGTGCAGATCTGGATTCCGCAGGCTTCTGTTGTGACGGAAAGGGGCCTTGCTGTGAAAACTTGGCAAATGAGACACCCAAAGGATCCAAAGCACCTATAGGGTAGAATGTAGGGTTTCTGTATTAGGAATTACTAGTATGATTTGGGGAAGTATCCCCCGGAACAGTACCTAGGACCCTTTGGGACAGGAAGAAGCTCACCGACTTCAATAAACGGCCTCGACCCTGACTCCCAAGTTCGACGGGCACTCTGAAGCCACGAATGAGACTTAAGAGGCCTTCTGCTGTTATTATTACTACTACTACTACTACTGCTGCTACTACTACTGCTACTACGGTTGACGATATAATTCCTGCATTACCCACAATAAAGAGTATACCATTATTCCCAGACTTTAGGGTCCTTAAGGTCATGCAGAATTTGTATCATCAACACCACCCTACACTCAAGGGGCTCCTGTGCTTTGCTGAGGATTCAAAGTAGCCTAAGCCATGTGCCCAGAGGGCGCAATACCCCAGAAGTAAGGAATATACCTGGGCCCCAAAAGTATGTAGAATACTAGCCTTTTTTAGGTTTTGGGCCAGTAGTTTACCTACTTGTGGGGGTCCAGGTACGCGTTTAGCAGTTTAGGGTTTAGGGGTTTAGGGTTTATGGTTAAGGGGTTTAGGGGTCTACCTATAGGCTCCATAGTAGTTCCCTTCTGGGGTTCATATTTAGGATCCTAGAAGGTAACCCCAAAAAGGAACCTGCTGTGGAGCCTATGGGTATACCCTAATTATACGGGGCTTCATAGTAAGATGTGAATTCAAGGGTATTGGGCTCTTTGGGTCTCTTGTTTGAAAGCTTCTGCATAGCTGCGCAGAAGGAAAAGCATACTTGTAAAACCTGCAAAACCTCGAAAAATACATACATTCTCGATGTGTCTGCGCGCGATATTCCTTGAGTTAAGGGGTATTGGGCTCTCTGGGTGATCCGGGCAATCTTGCGACATGTGCATCCGCAAAGACTCAAACGATTGCAGTATGGCTCAAGACTCACGAATGTGAACTTTATAGGCGCTCATCCTTTGATCTTCTTGAATACTAAAGTCTGCCTGCCAAAAAGGCATCTGGCCTAGAGAAGAGCTTCGCGCCCAAACCCTATAGAGGAAACCCCACGCAAACCGTGTAGTCCAGCGGTTTCGAGTATATTCCTACAAATCCGAGAACCCATATATCGCCTACCGGAACCCTGAAGCCCCCCCAGACCTTGCCCGGGATCCGCTCGGCGAGGGCAGGCACGGCCTCGAGAACCTTCGACGGCCATGAAATCCCAAAGGGTTAGGGTTTAGGGTTTAGGGTTCAGGGGCCCTCAGCCCCCAAAACCCCAACCGGCCGTAATCTAAAACCACGGTTATATAAAACCCTAAACATTTGGAACCTTCAAAAAACAACATTTTGCATCCAGGCCTCCTGAAACCCCTAAACCCCTTATATAACCCTTGAACCTCTCAAACCCCAAGACCATCAACCTCCGGTGCGGAGGACTTGAGGATGGAGGCGGCCCAGAGGCAGTTGGAGAGCTCCTGTCTTAGGGCCTATATAGTTCAGTTTGTTTTAAAGTTTTTTAGGGTTTCTATAGCCTCTTCGGTGTTTAAGGTTTAGGGTTTAGTGTTTATAGCTTAGTTTGGTTTAAGGTTTATAGGGTTTCTATAGCCTGTTGGGCGTTTAAGGTTTAGGGTTTAGTGTTGATAGCTTTGTTTGGTTTAAGGTTTAGGGTTTAGGGTTGAAATAGACTTTGGGGGTTGGGGTTTAGGTTTAGTGTTAAAAATTGTTGGGTTTAGGTTCAGGGCTTGTAAGGGATCTGTAGGGTTTAGAGACTAGGGATTGGGGTAGTTACAAGTAGTGTTATAAGTGGTGTCAGTGTATGTTAAACCGACACTTGTGAAGCAGGTTTCTGGAACAGCTGTCTTGTGTGCCTCGCCTTTCGCAGCACCGAGGAGGGAGGGTTGCGGTCGTGCTTGAGAAATCAGCTGACAGGGTCAGGGCTACAACTTCTGAGGACGGGGTTCCTTTCAGAGTTCGTTTCAGCCTGTGGGCAGGCTTCAACATTCGACACGTCTTCGGGGAAGACCTTTCAGCATTCAGAGGCCGGGGGCCTACTTTCCACAAGGGGTTCATAGGGTTTAGGGGCAGGTCCGGGCTATCATTTTCACATTGGTAGCGGAGCCCGGCCTGTCATAGTGTAGGGGTACACTGTGTAAACAGGGGATTTTAGATCCGAGAGAGTAGGTCCAGAATCGTCGAGCCATGGCTAGTGAAGGGACGGAAGCAGCAGGCAGTTCAGCCGGTGGAACGCTGAGCAACCTCCCCTGGCAGCAGATTCCTAAGTTCACGCCGGGAAGTACGAACGTTGATGAGTACACAAAAAGATTACAGTTCATTAGGGATCTGTGGCCAGATGAGCACATTCACTTGCTTGGTCCCAGAGCAGCTCTAATGGTCGAAGGGTCTGCCTTTCAGAAGGTGAGCCGGATCCCAGCCGACAAGCTCAAGAGCAAAGATGGTGTGAAAATCCTCGTGGAAAAGCTGGGTGGTGCGTGGGGGCGTACAACGGTGGAAGACAAGTACTTTTACTTTGAGCAGGCGATCTTCCAGACCCAGCAGAAGAGTGATGAATCAAACGACTCGTATGTTGCTCGGCATGATGCTCATTTCGAAGAGTTGATCTCTCGCAGCGTTCAGCTGGAGGAGGTCAGAGCATATGTGCTACTGCGGCACTCCATGTTGAGCCCTGAGGACAAACGGAAGGTCATCGTGGAAGCGGGTGGCGACTTGACCTACGCAGGGACTGTGAAGGCAGTGCGCCTCCTCGGGTCCCGGTTCTTTGGGGAGCTTCAAAATCGTGGTGCGGCTACTGCAGGTGCTCGCGGCCAAGAACGAAACAAAGTGTATAACATCAACCTGGCCGAAGATGACGGGATTGATGAGGTTCACGTGGCCGTGGTGCCAGAGAGCGAGCCGAGCGATGAGGAGATCGTGGCCTTTTTCATGGAGCAGAACGACGAGGATGCCATCTACATCGCGGAGTTTGAGGACCACATCGTGGATGCAGTGCAGGAGTCATCCCTAGCTCCTGTTTTCGCTACTTACCAAGAAGCTCGCCAGCGTTTGAGGGAGAAAGCTCGCAACCGCGGATATTTTCCCGTGGGTGGAAAAGGCCGCGGAAAAAGCAAGAGCGGGACGCGTCAGCAGAAGGGAAGTGCCTTCGATGGTGGTCGACGCCGCAGCTTAGCAGAACGCATTGCTTCGAGCAACTGCAAGCTGTGCGGAAAGAAGGGTCACTGGAAGCGAGAATGCCCCCAGGCTCGTGATGAAGGAAACAAGAAGGAGGTGACCTTGTACTCCCAGACCGAAAACCTCCACCTCTCCTCGACCGAGGTTCTCCACTCCTTGCCCGAGGATGCCGAGCTCTACTTCGCGACCGATGGTGATGAGGACTTCGACGAGAACCGCGGAGATGAGGCTCAGATACCGATAAGAACCGCAGCGAGGGAGAATCGAATTCAGTCAGAAGAGCAGATGTGTCTGGCGGTTTTCTCACCTAAGGTGCCGAAAAGTCCAGATTTTATTAATGCTCTTGCATGTCGTTTGTTAATGCCTGACAGGACAGCTAGACAGACAGCCACGCGGCTGACCGGCCTGGGACAAGACCAGGCACTTGCTTCTGTGAGTCGGGACAGTGAGCAAGGCTCTTGCGGGGAAGTTTTGCAGCATGGGAAGCCGTACACGTTTGAAGACCCGGTTGCTCTGGTTGTTACTCATGGCGCGGAGGGTGTCCTTGATACAGGTGCTAGCCGGACTGTTGTAGGGAGCCGTCGGGTCAACAACATTTTGCAAGGGCTTCCCAGTCAGTGTCGTGATAGGGTGCGCAAGGCACGGTCAGATGTGACATTCCGTTTCGGCAACAGTGGCACGCTGACTGCAAAACATGCTCTGCTTCTCCCGACTGCAGAAGACACTTGGATTCGAGTCGAAGTAGTACCAGGCGACACTCCACTGCTTATTTCTAACCGGCTATTGTACGACGTAGATGCGGTAGTCCATGTTCGCAGGGGTGTGTTAGAAGTAGGTGGCCGAACGGTAGAGCTTAGAAGGGATGAAAGAGGCCTGTCACTGGTAGATCTCACGCAACTGTTGCTAGGGAACGTGGCGCCCATCTTGCATGCAGACGGCAGCCTGCCACAGCAACACAGCATCGACAGAACACTCTTACCACAGCCACCAGTGGATCAACACTTTTACGGAGCTCACCCCACGACAGCAGCATCCCGGATACATGCCGTCGGCGAAAGTCAAGAAGATCAAGGAAGTGGTGGATCAGCTCCCAGAGGAGCTGGACCAGCCTTTATCGGGGGAGGACGATCACGATCTTTCCGAGGAGCACCTGGCGATCGACCAGTACTTGACGGTTCAATATGTCAAGCCACCACACATCTCGACGCTTCGCCAATGGGGGGAAGTTGTGCTGCCACAGGGCAAGCACAAGCACAAGACACACAACGAAGTATTCAGCAACGATCTGACGTATGCCATTCTCATGGCTCGGAAGACCTCTCTGACGTCGTCATGGGCGCTGTCGTTCAAGAACTACAGCCTGGCACGATTGAAGGGGATGGCTCAGGCGGCCCAGGACCAGATCAATACGGATGCCAAGAAGCCAACCACGAGTCACGGTCCGGGTCCAAAAGCCAGCAAGGGCAGAGCCAAGGGCTACAAGACGGAGGGCCGGATGCGACCGGTGGACACCGAGGGGGGCGAGTTCTCGGAGTGGAGGATTTGTGCCCCGGTGACCGCGGCAAGTTCGGAGATTGGTGCCCCGGTGACCGCCTCAAGCTTGGCGAGTGCAGCGTCAAGCCAGGAGGTGACCGCAGTTGCCAACAAGAGGGGAGCGCCCAGCACCGGGCCGTCGCCGATCAAGGCGGAGTTGACGGCCGATCAGAAGCTCGACATCATGACCCGGAAGGCGCTCCTGCAGAGGGAGCTCGAGCACCTCGAGCAGTTCGATGCGACGCCGGACCCGGCGATCACGGATCGTCAGTGAGTGAGTCGAGTGAGACTGGTGGTCTCAAGCCGTCTTGTGAGGTAGCAGCCGGGGTAGCTCACCTTTGTAAACAAATTGATGAATGTATACTCCACATAGAGATGCAACTCACTTCATCCGCATTGACGAAGGAACCGGTTGCCTTTTCACGATATCGACTTCCAGGACTAGATGTCTTGGAGATTACTACCAGCGGTGACCAGGTCTCTAAGGAAGTATGCCGGCACAAAGGGAGGGCAATTGCTCTGAAGGAGCCGACTGAAAAGAAGTTGTGGAATTGGATCCACATGTATGAGCCTCGTCACCTTTGGATCAATTGTCCCAGCGGCAAGAATACAAGGAAATGGTGGTCTCCCAGGTTGCTTTCTGACCTTTATCATCATCAACTACATCAAGGACGGCATCTGCATATTAGGGGAGACCATGATTTCTTTGTGGAGCCGAGTGCCGAGCTTCAGGAGATTCATGAGGGGATGTTGTGTGCAATCCATTCGCTGCCGGAGCTTTCAGGCTGCCGGGTACCTCCTGGTAATAACTTTCTCCAGCAGGTGTCCTATGTCTACACCACATCCCGAACCATGTTTAATGCGGTGGATACCCGACAAGTTCCGGAGGAGAATTCGCACCGAGGAAGCTCCAGCAACCACGTCACACCGACACCACGAAAGCACTGCCACAACAGCCGACTGGCAGCACTGGCAGCACAGGCACTCATCAGTGACAAGGGGTTGCCTCTATATATGCTAGAGCTGTTGGTAGGGGAGGACCTTAAGCGCAGCTCGCCTGAGAACCCTGATTCGAATCAAAGTGCTGGTAGTGCTAGAGCTGCGATTCAACAAGTGTTGAAGCGCCGACGGTTGTGGCAGAAAACTCCACCGCCGCCAGACTCCACGACTTCGTCCGATGCATCTTCTAGTGGACAGGAGGGCTGGAAAGAGGTTCTTGCGCACTGTAGTCCTGAAGTACCGCGTAGGGCCCGAAAGGTTTTTGAAGTTGGTAGTTCAACGGTGGATAAGATTCAAGCCCTAGTGCCATTTGAAGTGCGGCATGTGGTCGCAGGTCGTGGCACCTGCCGGTATCAGCTTCCGAATGCTAAGTGGTATGCCGAGGGACGATCCAATGAGGATATTCCTATTAGATTTACGGTTGTAGTGGTGAGGGGTACCGGGGATATTCAGGTTGATGGTGAGGAACATTGGGTTAGCTTACCTAAGTACAAACAGAATCGGAAAGGAACTCCAGCGAGGATCAGTCTCACTGTGTTTGGGGCTCCGCGAGAGTCGCGAGTGCTGCAGCCACCGCCTTCTGATGTGACCGCGGGTGCAGCCCCAGATTTCGAAGCTGAGCCTCAGAGTGAGCCCAATCTCGGAACTCATAGGCCTGTTGATGTAGCCCCTTTTGGTCCCCCAAAGAGTGTTCCACGGCATGGGCCGGGTTATTTTGCATTGTCTGAATCCGAGAAACGGGAACTCAGGAGGCTTCATAACAATCTGGGCCATCCAAGCACTGAGACTTTCGTCAAGTTCTTAGGTGAGCGGAAGGCTGAGCCAAAGATCATTAGGGCGGCTAGGGATTTCTGCTGTGATGTCTGTTTTGAAACCACGGCTCCAAAGTTAGCAAGGCCCAGCCACATTCATCAAGATCTTGATTTCGGCGATGTCATAGGCATCGACGTGGCCTATTGGACCAGCTCTGCCGGGAAGACATACATGTTTACCCATGTTCTTGATGAAGGCACGCTGTTTCAACAGGCCACTTCGGCAGGCCGAACTTCGCGCGAACAGTTTTCCGCACTCATGGACATGTGGCTCAAATGGGCTGGCCCTAGTCAACTGTTGTATTGTGACCCAGCGGGAGAGTACACGGGAGAGGAGTGGAGAGAGTTTATGCAGAGAGAGGGCATTTGCAATCGGATTTGCGCCGCAGAGTCTCACTGGCAAATCGGCCGGACGGAACAGCATGGCAAGCTACTCAAGAATATGCTCTCTCGCATGGACTCCCAAACACCAATCACTGATGAGTCGGAGTTTCGGTTGTGTTTAAGGGCAGCAGTCCATGCGAAGAACTCTTTGAGCAGGGTAAAAGGGTATACGCCGGAACAGTTAGTGTTTGGGAAGATGTCACGCTTGCCAGCTTCGTTAATCGCCGATGACAATGCCGCGACGCAAACATTAGCAGCCAGTAGTCTTCCAGAAGGGGTATCGTTTAGAAAGGCCTTGCAGCGGAGAGAGGATGCTCGCGTAGCCTTTGTCAGGGTTGATAACGACAATGCGTATCGGAGGGCGCTTCTCAGTAGGTCACGACCGGCATGTCAAAAGTTTGATCCTGGAGACTGGGTGTGCTATTGGCGCCGGCAGAAGAACGGGAGCCAGAACCGAGGCGAAAAGGGGCGATGGCACGGACCAGCGCAAGTAGTGTGTGCGGACAATCGTATTGTTTATCTCAGTCATAGTGGTTTCCTGGTCCGGGCGTCACCCGAACAACTTCGCCCAGCTTCTTTGAGAGAGTGGCATTCCGTAAGTCAGCAGCCGCAACAACCTACCAGACCGTCAACCAGTCACGTAGTAGATCTAGTGGGCACAGGGGTTTTACCCAGTAGGGAAGACGTAGAGGTTCAAGGAGAGGTTCCCGAAAGTAGTCCTCCAAACGCGTCCGACCTGACTCCCATCACGGACTTGCCTGTTGAAGTAGCTTTACCACCTGGGGATGCCACCATGGGTGTTCCAGAGCAACCTGAAATGGAGGTCTCCCCAGTAGTCTCAGAGGTTCCGGATGCTACGATGGAGCCTCATGACATACCCGTTCCCGACGATGAAGACGATGACCTTCTTTTCGGGGATGCCGAAAGTTTTCTGGTGCATCCTACTGGAAGTCAGGCATGGGAATTGCAGGTCCATGAAACGAGCGTTCCGTTTGAAAACCTTCCAACTCCTGAGCAATCTTTGCAGTATGTATTGCTAGCCACCGCTGAGAAAAAGAAACGCGTGGAGGTTCGTTTGAAGGACCTCAGTCCCACAGAGCGGCAGCAGTTTGAAGGGGCTAAGAGTAAGGAGGTTGGTGCATGGCTTGATCATAGGACGGTTCGTAGGGTTGCCGCAGGGACGCTTGATGATTCCCAGCTCATGCGTTGCCGATGGATCCTCACGTGGAAGCCACCGGAAAAAGAAGGAGGGCCCAAGAGGGCCAAAGCTAGGCTGGTAGTTTTAGGGTTTGAGGATCCCGGTTTAGCAGAGATACCCAACGACGCTCCAACTTTAGGGAAGGATGCTCGCCAACTGTTGCTCCAAAAGGTGGCTTCCCAGCGATGGACGTTGATTAATTTCGACATTTCCACAGCGTTTCTGCAAGGAAAGGGAGATGGTAGGAAATTAGGGATTATTCCGCCTGAGGAACTGAAGCAGGCTTTGGGAATGCGGAAGGGCGAACAGTGTCAGCTAGATGGGGGTGCTTATGGCAGGGTGGATGCTCCTTTCCTCTGGTTTCAGACCCTGAAGCAGACGCTGGAGAGTCTAGGGTTTGTGCAGTGTCCGTTCGACGCCTGCACCTTCAGCCTCGTGTCGCGACAGAGTGATGGATCACCGAAGGTTCACGGCGTACTAGGGGTTCATGTAGACGACGGTATTGGTGGTGGTGACCAATATTTTTCAAAGGTGATCCAACAGCTCAGAGATATCTACTCTTTTGGGTCTTACGAGGAGGGAGATTTTACGTTCACCGGCATTCGGTTTAAGCAGTGGGATGATGGGAGCATTGAGATGGACCAGGTGAGGTATGTTGAAAAGATTGAACCCATTCAGATTTCCCGTAGTCGTCGACAAGACCCCACGGCCAAGCTCAATCCCAGCGAAGTGCATGAACTCCGTCGAATTAACGGTAGCCTTCAGTATGCTGCCGTTCATACTCGTCCGGACTTAGCCGCCAAGGTAGGCTATCTACAGTCTAGAATTCCGAAGGCGGAGGTCAGGCACTTAATCGAGGCCAATCGAGTCTTGCATGAAGCCAAAACGCATCCCGTGTCCATCATGATAGTTCCGATTCCCGAGGAGCATGTAACGTTCTGCACTTTTTCTGATGCTTCTTTTGCTACTTCGAAGGATAACAACTCGTATCAGGGGACACTCGTGATCAGTACGGATTGGCGCATGCTTCAGAATGAACAAGCCGTGGTTGTTCCAGTTGCTTGGTCCAGTAAGAAGATAGCTAGGGTGGTTCGGAGTACTCTCAGTGCAGAGGTAGTTGCCCTATGTAACTCGATAGATCGCATGTCCTGGCTCCGGTTACTGTGGGAGTGGATGAAGGACCCAAGCATTGATCTGGCCAACCCGGAACTCGTTTTAGAGCGGGCTCCGAAGTCGTCCTTGGTCACGGACTGCAAGAGTGCATACGATATTGCTACTAAGACTGCTGTGCCTGCTTGCTCTGAACTTCGGACTCAGTTAGAGTGTCTTCTTCTGAGGGAGCGTCTGAAAGAGAACTGCGCTATGCGCTGGGTGCACTCTAAGGCTATGCTAGCGGATTGTCTAACAAAGGTTATGGATGGGGCTACTCTCAGACAGGTGCTCTTAGGGGGTAGTTATGCTCTATTCGATGAGGGCGATGTACTTCGGAATAGGGCGGGTCAAAGACAATCGCTGAAGTGGTTACGTGACGCCCAGACGCAGGATTCGCAGAAGCCTGCTCAGAATATGAATACTTGAGCTCAGAAAATAATTTTTGACGAGTGTTAAACCGACACTTGTGAAGCAGGTTTCTGGAACAGCTGTCTTGTGTGCCTCGCCTTTCGCAGCACCGAGGAGGGAGGGTTGCGGTCGTGCTTGAGAAATCAGCTGACAGGGTCAGGGCTACAACTTCTGAGGACGGGGTTCCTTTCAGAGTTCGTTTCAGCCTGTGCGCAGGCTTCAACATTCGACACGTCTTCGGGGAAGACCTTTCAGCATTCAGAGGCCGGGGGCCTACTTTCCACAAGGGGTTCATAGGGTTTAGGGGCAGGTCCGGGCTATCATTTTCACAAGTGTACTTATAAGTGATATTAACGGACTTCTAACCCCACTTCGTGAAACAAACCCCTCGGAAATTCGTGCCCCACACCCGCCTGTGAATTGAACTCCTGGGAACTGTCCGGTATGCGCTGTGAAATGGCCGGCACCACCTGGCAGCAAGCTACATGTTGTGGAAAACAAGAAGTTGTTCAAACAATGGCCTACCCAGAGACAACAATATCCCTTATTAGGACTATTCCAAGTCAAACTAGGGATCTCAACATAATTTAAGGTATATTCCGGAATTCAAGGATAGTGGAGGCTCTGGGTACGTGAGGAGCCCCGAAAGACAAGCCTCCTGAAACCACTATAACTTCAGGTATATTCCGTGATGCAAGGATATCGGAGTCTCTGCGTACTTGGGGAGCCCCGAAAGATAAGCCTCTTGCTCGCGGGATAGTTGGACTCCCTTTCTCTTTGGCGCATTTCCTGCGTGCATGGATACACACATGTTTGCACGCATCCCTACATGGTAACTATGGATTAGCTCGTGGCTTCAGTCCCAGCTTTCGCACTCCAGGAAATAGCGTGGAACTGGCATTTGCATGGCTCGTCTTCACTCATGAGGACACCTCATACGGGCTCTGTTCTGTCGGAAACTCCCATGTTTGATGTTCAAGCAACTTCCTCGTGTCAGGATTCAAACGCATATGTCGATTCTTGTATGGTCTACGGAAATTTAGTGTTCAGCGTTCATCCGGACTTTTGTGGTGGGTCGGACAGGCAACGAAGGTTCAGGACTTAATTATGGTTGGGGGCCACCAACATAAGCACCCCTTCTAGCCCCCGCGGCCTGCAACGCAGCTGGTGCAGCGGCTTCGAGGTTAGCAGCCGCCCAGAGACAGCTTGAAAGGTCCTGCGTGGAACGACAATGCCGGTTTTCTGGGTTTTTAGGAATACTAGAGCTGTTAAGAATCAGGAACAGTAGGGCTTTCAGGAATATCAGGGCTTTCAGCTTTCAGGGTTTCTGTTGAATGCCCTGCACCCTTTGACTTCTGCACGAAGCATCTGAGCTTTAGGGGTTTGCGGCTTGAGTGTGCATTTGCAAGGTTCTCTGGACGAATCCGGTTAAGACTTCACTGGCTAAGCAGCTGTGTCATAAGATTCTACCGCCCACTGGGCCTCCAACTTTACCCAACATTACGAAGGCCTCTATCTATCTGTCTATTTACCTATCTTTCCATCCATCTATCTAGCGACCAGCTTTCAATGGTTATTCAGGGTAACGCAGGAACCTGATTAAGAAACCTTGGGTCTTTGTTTGGGTTCCTTTTATGAACCCTACTATTTTGGTGTTATAGGCCCAGGGTTTCCGTTCCGACATTACTAACCCCTACAGTAGAAGCCCAAAAGTTGGAAACCCAATCCTTAAGAGCAATGTATATGGAATCCCAGCACTATTTGGCCTTCATCCGGTTTCCAACTCTATGGGGTTTACGGTTATACTATAGAACCCTACTATAGATCCCTTAAAGAGTTTTTAAGGAACCCTGTAAAGGAACCCTCTTCTAGTTACTGTAAACCTGGCCGGGTCCTGTGGGTTCATCTTGCTCGCTTTTTCCGGAATGCTCAGGGCCAGGGCAGGGACTGCTTCCAGAATTCCAGGCGTAGCTTCTTGCAGCGTCGCGGCCTTGGGAGTTTAGGGTTTGGGTATGACTTGGGATTCAGGGCTTATAGGACTTAACAATTTCAAAAAAGCAAAATGAAAAAACATCTGAAAGTCGCTCTTCCATTCTTGCATGAATTCTAAGAGCTGTAAGACAAAAGCACTCAAGCCCTAGGACCTGCAAAAAAGGCACTCAGCTCACAAACTCCACACTGTGGGACCTACACAAAAGGGCATTCTCAGGTTGCGGCGGCCCAGAGGCACATTGACATCTCCTGGGCTCACTAACCAGGAGGCCGAATGGATCAACTTGCGTTTCATACTGGTTCCTTCAAGGAACAGGTCCCAAAAACCCTAAACCCTAAACCCCTAAACCCTAAACCCCTAAAAGAAGATAAAGCATGGTACTCCAGAACCCAGTCTCTTGAGCGTTGAAGTCTTTGACCTTCTCGGGGATGCCTTGCTGCCGGCTCTTTTTGAGTTTAGCCTTCGATTTCGGGTAAGCGCGGCACCTTTAATATTACAGGGGTCGAGAAGGGTCCTGTAAGGATTGATTGTGGATATTGGTCAGACTCCTATAGTGCAGGGATGAGGGCGTCATTAGGAACGACTGAGAGCTGGAATACATTCGAACCAAAACTTCAACCGTCAGGGACTGGCACACAAGCTCCCCTAAACCCCGAAACCCAAACCCCTAAACCCCTAAACAGCACACATCTAAATGCTCCGGTGCCATGCTGGCCGCCCCCTCCCGTTGGAATTCTCGGGACCGGGTTACGCTCTGCCAGGGCATCCACGACTGCAAGCACCTCTTGCTTGAAGGATGAGTTTTCTAAGGGCCTGCCCAGGGTTCCTTAAAAAGGGTCCGATTAGGGTTGCTATAAAGGGGTATTATTGGGGGGTGTAATATAGGGGCCTTATCTAATAGTTAGTTAGCTATATTAATATATTAGTTCGAGCATCTATGGCTTCTACAGGGGTTCGATAACATTAAAGCTTTCAGCCGGTGCACAGCTCGGAAGAAGATGTGGAGGGACCCAGGGACGCCCATACCCCTCTATTCGTTGTAGCCTCAAGTTTTGAGGATCTCTGCTGAAGATTCTTGTCGGCTAGGGATCAACCATTCTGAGCCCATGGTCTGGTGGTCTTGAAGTTGGGCGCCATCTTCCTGGCTCTGAGACGGCCTTGTTCGAGCCTTAAGCATCGACCCTAGGTGCCTAAACCCTTCTTGCATCTAGCCTGCAGGGGACCCTAACCCCCAATACCCCTAAAGACCCGAAACCCTGAAGCCCTAAACCTAGGTAGCAGACGCGAGCTGGAAGTACACTACCAGGGCGACACGGGACGCTCACGTGCTGACGTGGGGGGTGGTTATTTGGTTTCGAATTAAAGGCCCTGGGATTCAAGTTCTGAGGTCTGTGTCGACACTAAAACTCACAATCAACACTCGGAACATCTCTTCGGTGCTTTCTGCTAGCCTTGTGGCTTGCATAGACATAAGTTCAGACCGTCTGGGAAGCCCTTTCTAGACTAAAGCCGAAACATTTTCCCCACCCGACCTCTGGGGCAAAGTCCTTGAGCGTGGCGGCGGCCCAGAGGCAGTTGGATATATGCTGGGGTCGCATCCTCTGCGAAGCTTGAACAGTCAGACACCAGCCCGATGATCTCATGTCTTATGACAGTCAGGAGCACCCGGAGGGTTCCTGATAGAGTTCTGGCATAATGCCCCCCGACCCCAACCCTCAACCCTATTCTACATCTATCAATATTACCCATAAGCCGGGAGCCAGGATGTGACCCATCAAGCTCAAGGTGCGGGATGTTTGACATGTGCTCTCACCACAGCCGGGGGCTAAATTGTATGAGTCCGCGTGTATTAGTGGGCTTTCAGGGTTTATGCTTGCCAGGCCTAAGGGTTTCTATTTTGGTTTCTATATTTTTTGAGGTTCGGAGTTAAGCACTGCTTGGCACACTCTCTCGGTTGTCCTGAGCTGCAACACCACTCGACAGCCACCCCTCACTATGTGAACTACGTCTCCCCTTCTTAGGGTTCACCCGACCAGGCCTCAGGGATCTTGAACCTGAACAAGATGAGCCGACAAATGTGCTGTCATCATCTCAGCGCAGGTCGAAAAACAAGTTCTATTAGTAATGAAGGCAATCATGTAGACGAGCGTAAACCTCTAGCTAAGGACCTGAAAAACCCCTAGAGCTCATTAAGCGATGCAGCAGGTACCTGGGTTATGGGTACTCTAAGCTCTTTTGAAGCGCTTCTAGAGTTAAGATCACTCCCGTCAAGGAAGTGAACTTCCGATGGACCATGCACACTAGATCTTGACCAGCTATGGAGTACAGTATCGACTGTCATTCCCGTGTCAGGGCGCTTAGCCACTGTTGTGGTTAGGATCCTACAATACAGGTACGTGTACCCAAACAGTATATACGTACCTATATAGGGAGTACTTTGAAGCAAATTATATACTATTTGCGTACATGGACCCCCTAGGGAACCCCCATTCTGCAGGAAATTCTGCACCTCGGGACCCTGTCATAGCGGAGGTCCTGGAGGTCAGCTTGGGAACCTGCTTCGTAATAGCCGGTATCGCCCCAAGCACCTGTCAAACAGCTCTTTGCCGGCAATGGTATGTGAGCATAATAATTTAGCGACATCGGTTACATGATGAAAGCTTACATTAAAGTATTCTGGCTGGCCTTGTATCTCCTTCATGGGACGCGAAGAAGCACTGAGCTGAGGGGGATTGGGGGTGGGTGCATAGGAGTGTCCTATTCAAGAATCCCCTCGACACGTCCAAGGCAACAATTGCATCATGTCACTAAACCCCAAAGCCCCTACCCAAAAAAACGAAAACCCCAAACCCAAAACTGAACCCACTGTGCCTGCAGTATCAACTGTGCCACCTCCCATTGGCGTGCCAGGTGCTCTCGAGAAACGGAATCTGTCAGATGATCCTCAAGCCCTGAATCCCAAACCCCTAAATCCTAAACCCTAAAAGTCCTAAATCTTCAACTCTCCGTCGTGCTCAGTCCTCAGAAGCGAATTGGATCCCGGAGTATTTCGGGTTAGGCCTTAGGTGCTCTTCCTCTCAGCGCCTGCGGGGCCGCACCGCGAAGATGAGCTGAAGCCCACAAGCTATTCGCCAAGTCTTGACAATTGAAGTTGGCCACCTGGCAAGCTGAGGACATGCGCCGCTGTCGGCGGGCTTGCACTTTCCGAAAAACCGTGTGTGTGTGTGTGTGTGTGTATATATGTATATATATATAAACATACCTATATATATATATATATATATACATGTGTGCATCTGTGTGTCTATGGTTTACGGCTCTTGCGGTTCATGTCCACGCGATCAGCCTCTTGGCCGGGCTTGCTTCTACTCCCTCTGGAAGGCTATGTCATCCTCTAGTCTTGCGATGTACCCCCAATTCAGCTAGTGTGCTGGGTTCTTGTTAAGGAATTTATTTTCAGTTACCACTTCAGGTATCTATAATGAGCCATATGGTTTATTATGGTAACTTGTATTAAATTCCTTAGCAAGAACCCAGCAGTTCATTGTCAGGGAGCCCCGGTGCTTCGAAACCGCTTGTACTCTTGATGTGAACTTGCATGTAAGCCAAAAGCTACCGTTCTAAGGTTCCTTACTATGGTCTGTCGGTTTGCTTGTATACCCTAAACCCTGAACCCTGAAGGAGAGAGGGTTTTTGGGCTACAGGACAAGACGGACCAGGTTTGTGGTCTGAGCTTCGCAGTATCTTTGAGATGCCGAGCGGAGTCAGTCAGGATCTCTGTTCAGAAACGTTCAGAACACTAGGAAGCCTCCTTGCGTCTGCTTGGAGTAAGCATGCTACGATGCCGGGAGAGACGGTCGTCTGCGAACAAAGGTGGTCGTTTGCGACAGGTTTGAGGAACGGCAGCAGGTTCCGCATGTCGAGCATCCCAGAAGTTCCCATATATAACTATAAAAAGCTCCAGTGCCCTGTTGTTATATCTTCTAATGCAAGCACTCTGTCACTCTGCAGGACTCGATATGTCTGCTCATGCGGTGTCCTCTGCGACATTGAGAAGACGAACCCGAACTCAACGGCCCAGCAACTCTACCATCCGGGCGCGTTGTTTGCTGGAGAGGAAGTTGGTGGCGGCCATGCTTGCAAATGAGCGTGCAGAACGAGGGCTACGTTCAAATTTTCTGCTTCGGGGATCTGCGTATGACACGACATTTGTGAATGTGACAAGACACTTGGGCCTGTATCAAACTCTTGTGCACACATCTTTGGCCTGTCTGGTTAGATGACTAGGTGACTAGGCTAGCCAGTGAATGGCGAGGAGCGGTGCCAGATTGTCTTTGCAGCAGTGTGGGAGTTTCAGCAATTTGAGCCCCACCCGATCAAATCAGATTGGGCCGCCTGCTCCGGCACGGCCAGCGCCAGTGCCTCAACTGCTCGCAGCACCTGGCGAGGAAGCCATTACTTATTACACAGAACCCCCAAAGTAAATACAATAACAGCCCAAGGTCTATAAGAGGCTGCAACTCTACAAGAGGCTATTCTTCTATAAGAGGCTATTGTTCTACATCCTTTTGGGGTCCAAGTAGGTTTCACTCTTTTCTCGGCGTGTTGGCCAGACAGATTGACTATCGTCTACCTGAAACCCTCGCTACCATACAAGGTGAGCACATGTACTTTAGGGGCCTACATGTCCGAAATGAATACCAATACCATGTCTTTGGTGGCTTCCTGCTTCTAAGTGGAATAAGTGGAATAGATATACCACAAAATCATGATCTAATTATGGAAGCCCTTCATATTACACCTTCTGCCTTTCTCGAGGTCGGCCAGATGGGCTCTTGGAAGCCCGACTTTCAGATTTCAAGATCCAATGCTGCAGCAGAAACATCTATAGATTCCTTTAAGGGTTTAGGGTTTCACTTAAGGACAAGCCCAAAGCTGGGGTTTAGGGTTTAGGGGTTTAGGGTTTAATCCTTTTAGGGGTCCTACAACTACTTTAAATATATACTGTCTGGTCCTTAGTAAAGAATGGGGGAAGGGGTTATTGGGACTAACCTTTGGGATTATATAGGGCCTGCTATAAGGATCCATTCCCGCATTCCCCACTAGGGTGGTGTCATATTTACGGTCCTTTTTTGGGTCCATATTATAGTACGGCACCTAATATTCAGGGTACCCAAAAAGGGACCATAATTTTGACAACCATCCACTAAGAATCAGAGAGCCCAATGCCGCAGCAAAAACATCCGAAAGCTCACGAGTATCAAGCCGACATGTCTGATCCGGGGCCAAGAAGTGTGTGTTTCCTAACGTAGGAACCTGATCAAAGAAACCTTGGGTCGTTGATCCTATGATATTTTGGGGGTTATAGGACTAGGGACTAGGGCTTCTTAATCGGTTTCCTACACTACCCATAGGCACCACACTAGTTCCTTTTTGGAATTACCTTATCGGATCCTAAATATGAATCCCCAAAAGGAGCTACTATGGAGCCTATGGGTAAACCCCCCATCCCTAAATCCTCAGCCCTAAACCCCACCGTTCGCCTCCGGCGCAGAGTCTCGCAGCGTGGCGGCCGCCCAGAGACAGCTGGCAAGCTCTCGGGGTATCATGCGGCTTACCTGGACAAATGAATAGGGCACCTTTACGGGTTACTATAAGGGTTATACTATAGGGGTTTAGAGTTCTTAGTAGGCTGTCTGGTTCTCAGTAGGGAATTGGGGAATTGGTTGGGACGATTATTGGGGATTATATAGGGACTACTGTAGGGATCCAGAACCAGACAAACAAGCCCAAAGTAAAGGGTCTTAAGTTTCTGAACAGTAGAACGTAGGGTTTCTATTTCAGGAATTGCGACTGTGATTTGGGGAAGTATCCCGCATACCAATAACTAGGACCCTTTGGGAAGGGCTGGTGGAAGTCGGGTTTAGAGTGTATGATGAGTTGAGGCCCCGGTGTCGATGGGAGGCAGGGATTGTGCGAAAGGTCTTTCTCAAGGAGGGACTGGTGGAAATAAACATGTTGAGAAGGACATCTTCACCAGAAGCGGAACTACCCGATGGTTCCTTTGGGGACAAACATCCATAGAGCCCAACACCTCATAAATGAGCAATATATGTCAAACCATGATACGAATTCGGCCATATAGAACCTAAGGTGCATGACTGAGCTTAGTTGGGTTTTGGGCTCTGTGGGTATCAGGCCCCTAGATTTCGCAGCCTGTTTTTGGAGTCCTTGACGGGAACATGGCTGAGAACCTAAAAACCCCGGGTCTGAAAAATTACACCGTCAACCACCAAAACCATACTTTTGCGTAGGGCTTTGAAATTTCTATATGATTAGAATCTACAAAAAACAGATTGGGGCTCCGAGACCCCCAAAACCTGCGCGAACCCTGCAAAACCTACCTTGTCGAGGGTTCTTATGATGATTGTCTGGTAGGCTATTTGGGGTTAAGGTAAACCCTAGACCTAGAGCACACGAACTGACCAGACGGATATCTCAGACAACCCAGCGTGATGAAAGCCTGTCACCCGTATTTTACTCCGAGGTGTAAGACCTATAGGGTCATACCCTGCCCATGTTTTACGGTACCTAATTTCATTGTTAGGATCTGCTACATGGAAAAGTAGGTGTCCTAAAAAAGGGGTATATTATGACCACACAAGGGATGGTGACCGGACTGAACTCGTTGCCCGAAAGCTCGGATCTGTACACACATGTGGCAGTATATGCGGGTTTCCGAAAATGGGGGACCCTAAAATAGTACCCTATAAATGGTAGGATCCTTATTATAAGGACCCCCAAATAAGGTACCCCTATTTTCGGAAACTCCCATATAGTGCAAGCCCAATACCCTCACAAGCGGCACCCTGCTATATGTCTATATAAGCCTAAACAAACTGCTCACACCGACTCTTCGCAGTTGGAAAATGGACGGGCCTTGATAATCAAGTCAGGGTTGGGGCTTCCCGTGCAGTGAAATTGTTATGAAGGGCCCATAGTATTGCAATGTACTGCTATGATGTATTCAGACTCTCATAATGAAGCTTAGATTCCTAGGAAACACACGGGCCTTCTTGGGAATCTCCACAACCACTGCGCCCACTGCCTGTAGCACCTGGCTCGCGAGCCCGCCCTCAGATTACGGTTTAGTAGAGTTTATGTGAACTTCTTTTTGTAGACAGCCTAGAGCAGCCTACTTAAGGGTTTTCAGGTTTAATTGAGCTTTAGGCTTAAAAGCGTTTGCCTATAGAAGGTAGGCATGTGCTACGCGGCGGCTGCACCTTGAATTAACTGAAGTTACCCTTCGAAAAAGAATCTTTTCCTAAACTTCACTCGCGTAACGCTCGATTGTAGACCCTGAGCAACATAACCCTGAAGAAACCAAACCCTTATCAAACTATGTAAGGCAATGCCTTAACAAATGTGTGCGTGTGTCTATATATATATATATATCATATAACAGCCCGAAACATGAACAAGGCCTGAGCACTTTCAGGCCTTCCTGGCTCCGCGAATACTCTTTACTTGGGAGTCGACTCCTCGTGTCATAAACACAAGCAAACGTGCACATGCGGGTGGGTGTAGAGTTTCGGGATACACCAGCCCACAAGAGCATGTGATTATACATGTACATGTATGCATGCCCCAGAAAGCCAGTTTCACTTGGCATCTTTCTGTGCGCGTACATACATATATACAACATACATTGGTACACATGTACACATGCATGTGTAGCTGGAGACGTGCTTCGTTTCTTACAAAACTGACGCTTCTTCGTGCTGGTGCCTGCCGGCCCACACTGCACTGTACACACAGGACATACCGTTGAGGCTGAGGGTTACGTTCTTCTCGCATTTTTTTCCCTCCTACCAGGGTGTAGGGTTTACATTGGGATTCCGGTGTCCAGGGTTTAATTAATAGCCAACGATCTATATCGTGCTTAGCACCTCCGGTGATCTTTCGCGAAGCTTGGCAGCGGCCCAGAGGCAGTTCGACAGGTCCTTCCAGGTGCGCAGAAAGCGCAATCATTCTTCATGGGGAATACTTGGAGGTTATAAGGGTGGTTGTAACTGGGCTTGTAAGTCCCCTAATATGGGTTATAAGTATAGTTACCCTACTTATCACCCTACTTATAACTCCAAATAGACGTGAATAGATCAGACAACATGAAGACTCCTCAACCAGATGTCAGACAGAGCCGAAAATACATAAGACATAATAAAAACAATAATAGTAACTAATATATATATATATATATATATATATAGGACTATATGATCATAGCACATTCTCTCAGAGTTTCAAGCTGAAGCCATACAAGCCCCTGCTCCTCTGTAGATTCGGGACAATAGGGCTTCCGACTTTCGAAGCTGGGAAAAGGCCTCGCGAGGCGTCTGGACCAGCGTGGGGCTTCAGGGCCTTTAACTTTAGGGAGTGTGTGGGAGTTCCTGTAGCTCTGGCCGACCGACACTTTCCCTACAATAATGTGCTCCAACATGTGACAAGCGCCTCAACCCCAAATCCTGAAACCACTGTCGGTCTCCATGTAAATAAACTTGCTGATCAGTTAGTTAATACCCAAGGGTTAATTTTCAAGCATCCCCGTGTTGAGAGATTGGAAATAATTATCAACCTTCGCCGCAAAATCCGATCAACCCACTATAAATGCCGCAACCCTCAACCCTCACCCTGAAACTTATAGTACCCTTATAGGAACCCTGCTCCCTTAAAGGAACCCTAACCCCTATCCCCCCCCGCTCCCCTGTAGTGCCAATTTCAGCTCCAAGGTCCTGTGGAACCATCTGCCCTGCTAACCGGCCCAGGTTGGTGGCAAGCGGTGGTACTGCTGCCAGCACCTCTCACAGCAGGTTCAAGGGTTGTTTTTTCAAGTGCAATGGTGTTTAAGGTTTCAGGGCCCAATAATTCACTTTTAATCGTTTAAAGTTTTTTCCCTCTCGCATTGCTATGGAGTCTATGCCCACTCGCGAGGTCTGACTTTGGGGATTTACAGAGTGTATTGCACAGGGCCCAGGGTTTCAGGGCCCAATAACCCACTTTTGATCGTTTAATAAGGTTTCGGCGCTCACACTCGGACAATCCAGGCGAAGCACATGGTTCGGAGTCTGGGAAACTGAAACGCAACTAAAGGAAGTAGTCAGGATGATATCGTGTAAGGTTTAGGGTAGGGCCTGGGGTTTCAGGGCCCAAAAACCCTTTATGACAAATGAACTCACTAACAGCTGCCCTCTATGGGTTGCAGGTAGAGCCTGGAAGTATGGGGTAGTGAACTCTCTTGAGAACTTGCACCACGACGAGGGAGTGACCCAAACCCAACGGGACGCAGAACCATGCGGAATCAAAGCTCGACGTTTGCGACATGGGCTAAGGCCAGGCGGTGGAACTGTAGAGGGACCCGACCCCAAACCCTGAAGCCCGAAACCCTAAACCCTAAAGCCTTAGCCCCTAAACCCCTACCTTAACCCTGAAGGACCTACCTTTTTAAGGACCTATATAAGGAAATCATGATAAGGAACCAAAATAACGGTGGTTTTTTAGGGTTAAGGTAAACCCTACAGCACTAAATGCCATGGGAGCAGGAAACCTCCGGCACAGCATCCTGAAGCGTCGCAGCTGCCCAGAGCGAGTTTGATATCTCCTGAATCACTAGGACCACCCAAATGGCCCTTTAATAGAGTCCTTAGGGCCCTTAAATCGTGGATAGTTGGGGTATATTAAAGGGTAGTGGGGGGGGGTCCAGGCAACTCATGTGGTTCAGGTTAGAACTTCGGGCTTGGCAGCTTGCAGGATTGTTTTTTGGCGTTTTACGGGTTCTCTGATCTGTTGAAGGGCTTCTCAAGTCTTGTAGATTTCGAGAGGGTTTGATGACGAGTTCTGCACTCTTCGAGTTTTCGGTGGGCTTAGAATTGGTTTTGAGCCGTTTCCAAGTTAGGAGTAGTATTTCATGTACTGCGCACGTCCTAAACTTGCACGCGCTCTTAAGAAATTGATGCGCGATTTCCTTCGGCACAAGTCTTGAAAGATGCCCAAAACGGCTTTTCCTGTAGTGCCTCTTACGAAAACCCGCTGTGGAGGCCCTCAGGCGGCAAGGATCCCACAAACCCGAACCCAGGTTGTGCTAATGTAGGAACCCGATTAAGAAACCTTGGGCCTTTATTAGGGTTCCTTATATAAATCCTACTGTTTTGGCGTTATAGGCGCAGGGTTTCTTAATCAGGTTCATATATTAAACCGCTGAACGCAGATAACACTGCCAGCTTCATTGTAGGCTTTGAAGGATCCAATCTCAGAGAGCCCAATACGCCGTAGTTAAGGAATATAGCTTAAATCATAATATGAAGCCCCTATCTAATGATTTATTCCTTAATTATAAGGGGTATTGGGCTCTCTGGGATACAGGCAGCCATAAATAGCTTGAGCCCCAGAGACCCGACAAGATCCTTCCTAACTAATAGCGTGACCACAAAGACCCCGGCAGACAACGATGCACCCAAAAAAGCAGCTAAGACCAATGCCCAAAACGTCTGATTCTAACATGACGGCCCCACCAGCTTCTTTGTAATTCATTCATCACAACCATCAGAAGGCATAGGCCACGCCTGGGGATTGAAGTCGTCGACCTTGCGCCGAATCTGTGGCACCAGGACTGGCGCCGCAGGCAAGGCTTCCAACCTCGATTCGAAGTAGTGCGGTTTTGGCCCAATCAAGGGCTTGGGTTCTAGACTGCTGCTGCTACTGCTACTCCTGCTCATGCTGCTTGCTGCTACCACAACAAGAACAACAACAACAAGCTACTACTACTACTACTACTGCTACTACTGCTACTACTGCTACTACTACTACTACGACGACGACGACGACGACTACTACTACCACTGCTGCTACGGCTACGGTTACGGCTACGGCTGCTACTACGACGACGACGACCACTAGTACTTCCACCGCTGCTGCTTCTATTACGACGACGACTCCCACTTCTACTATTTCTATTTCTTCCGGGAGGGTTCAAGGCTTATTTGGCTTGTTGTTTGTGTTTGGCTTCGGTTTTGACCGCGTAGTTTGGGCCCCCCTGCATCCTGCGTTGCTAGACCAGGCCCGCTTGTAACTATGGCCGTTAACCCTTGTCGTGGCTCGTGTCGGGCTGTTAGCGGTACCGATGGCCAGCACAAGTCAGCACGACAATCGGAATTCTGCGGCTTTCTGCTCTTGCAGATTCTGCTTTAGGAAACAGGGTTCAGGTTCTTAAGGGTTGAGAATTGAAGGTTTCCGAGTTAAGAAAATCTGTGCAAACAGCCAGTCACGAAATCAAAGCCTTCAAACACCCCTCGATTTGGGGTTAGAAGTTGTATTGTGGAGTCTCCTGGTCTTGGTCACTTGTCTTCTTCGTTTTCTGGGGGTCACGGTGCTGCATTGGTGTAAACATCAGGGCTAAGCACGTGTATTTCATGCAATGTATCCTTTTTGAACCCAGACTCTGCCGATCAGGGTACGAGGATGCCCAGTAACCTAGGAATAAAAAGGGCTCCCTTTTTGGTACTGGGTAACTTTATAAGGAACCCAGGACTACAAAAAGGGAATAAGGGTACTACTGGGCTCCTAGGGTCCTGGGGTATCCTAAACCCTAAACCCTGAGACCCTAAACCCAGGAAGCCTGATCCAGAAGGGTTCTAAACCTCCGGCCCACCCAAAGAGTAAGAGTAGGGTCCATACCACGAGGTCTGACAAAATGCAGGGGCTCCTTGACTTATCAGAAACATTGCGGTGGAAGCACGAACTTAAGCTTTAAATTCTGTATTCGATCCTTCTTTTTCTCTCTCATGCACTTGGACTCATGGTTGCCGGAACCGAAATCTCATTCGCACGAAACCACTTAGGGTGGCTAAGGGTTTCTGCTTTTAGTTGATATCCGACTTGGTGCAGTTGAAGGTGAAAGAGAACCGAGGTTTGGGACATGGCTTGGGTGTCGAAGGTGATAGCGCTCAAAAAGATACGACTGGCTGACTGCTTCGTGGCAGCGGCCGTCCGCCGCAAACGTGGCAAAAAGATCGACTCCTTTTCAATGCCTTTCACCCACTAAAAATACTGGTATTGGGGGGTACTTCCCCAAATCAAGATAGTAATTACTTCAAAAGAAGCCCTACATTCTACGACTGTTCTTCAGGTACTTCGGACCCTTTGGGAAATAAGAAGCCAGGGTAGACCCGCAACTGTCTTTCAGACAGGACGACTGCACATCGTTTGCCAACAAGCCTGCCGGGCCAAGTGGCGACTTCTCTGCCAAAGTAGCTGTTGCCCACAGGCTGTTGGACAGGTCCTTAGCTAGCACATTCTCTCCTTGCCATGGCAATTGCCCACCTCGGGCCAAGTTTTTTCTGAGTACACAAGACGCACGGCACGCCCCTAAAGTCAAAATGGCCCGAACCCAGTGATATCCCGAGATGACACTGACTAGATTTGAGGGTTAGAGGCAAGTTAGAGGTTTACACAGTGCGTTTAGAGCTTATTGAATAAAGTTGGGTAAGAACTTCAAGAAGCAGGGCTGGTTGTTCAGCAGCCCGGCGTTCCCCAACCCAAAACCGCCATGCTGAAAGAGCGGCGGATCGCAAAGACATGAGCATCTGTGCACTCCCCCGAAGTTTCACTTTGTACCTGGCCGAATCTGAAGACGCCGAGCAGTCTTGAAACTGCGGTCCTCTAACACCTGCCCTGCAAAATGCAATTCTGAAGGTCTGAAGCGAAACGTGCAGCTCATATGTGACCATATCCTGCTTTACTTGGACGATCTGAGTGTATACAAACACATGATGTTCGACCATCCCAGTCCGCATGTCCAGTACTGACAGTCGTCATCATACGAAGTTGGCTCCACGGCCGTCACCGGTCGCAAGCAAAGACTAGCAAACATAACGTGATCAGCGCTAGCGTCTTGACCGGACATGTCGGCAACGTGCTGCGGCAGCTGCGCAACAAGAGCCGCGACCTTGGTGCAGTAACGAATCTGGCATAAATGTGAAGCCTTTTTTTTCTGGGGAAGTTTTGATTGGGGAAAGAAGAGAATCGAATGAAAGGGAAGGCTCAGAATGTCTAGTGTTTCAGGGCATCGGGATGTGTGACCGTGTAATGTACGGCATAAGCTGTTGTTTGGGCCAATGTGCTGCGGGTTTGTTCCAAGTGCAACTGCGCATGTGAGCCTACCGCAGCTGTAAACCCGCAGCAGGCCATTGCAATTTTTGTTTCGAGCAGCTGTGCAGGAGATCTAAATAGTTAAAATGGCATCAGACTGACCGCAGAATGTTTCCCGACATTCAGAATCTCCGCAACCACGACTGGTGGCTGATTGTTGTGGCTCACAGGTTTACGAACTGGCAATGACTAGGGATCCTTTTGCTTGTCAAGTGTCTCAGTCGCTGCTAATGGACGCTTACAGTCTAGAGTTAGTTAGGAACTCGATATGTTATTAGCAGGTTCCCAGCGCTTCCGGAACAATTCGCATGAAACGCACTCGTACTGCCTTACGGCACTCTGAATTGCAACACCTTCGGCAAGTTCAGGATTCCGGTGCCCATCGACTCTGTTGATGATATAAATCCTGCATGACCCATAATAAGGGTTATACCATAATTCCCTTTATTCTTTATTATGGGTAATGCAGGATTTATATCATCAACGGCTACTGAGCACCACGGGCTTTCTCTACGTGGATGTCTCCTGCACAACTCAGCAACCAGCCACTAGCAGAACCGTTTCTGAGGGCCCAATAGATAATCAACTCCATCCAGCAATTACGGCATAGAGAGTATGTGGGGCATGTAGGGATTGCAATTTAGATGTAGATTCTTGAAATACCCAGTATTGGGGTCTCTGGGACCAGGTACGGGCACCTTCAGGAAAACCATAACCACAGAATCATCATGCTAATCGTAATAGTAGTAATAGTATGGAAAATGACAACAAGACTTCATAATAATAACAATAACAGTAGTAACAACAATGGTAATACCAATAATCTCTTGTGATACTAATCGACGAGAATAAAGAAATGTTTAACAGCACTGCTGACCGTGGGGAGTGTGTCATATGCAAAAAAAGACGTCGCACTCCCATACCCAAAGCGCAAGCAAAGCGCCACGTTGCGCAACTCCGGCATGTCGCGAAGCTTCGCCAATGCCCAGAGGCACATGGCGAGGTCCCGGGGACCCATCTGCAGCGAAAGAGGGCTCTGGGTTTATCAAATGGGAAAAGGAGGGACCCTTAATGGGGACCCCGACCTGGGCTATATAATGGGTATATAATAGCTATATCAAGGGTATATACCTAGGGGTCCTTATTAAGGGTCCCTCCTTTACCCTTGGAGTTTAGAGTTTTACGCTCTCGCAACTCGGACAAGCCAGATGAGGTCTCTTGGGCGCGTTGAACTTTACCGAGAGGGTTCAGGGTTTAGGGTTTTGTAGGGTTTAGGACTTTGGTTTGTTTGATTTAGGGGCCTTATAATAGGACCCGTAAAATAGTATTAATGTAGTGTTCAAGTTTGTGAGGCAAGGACAAACATCTGCCTTCAGGTGACATAACCTTCTGTTTGGCAGGATCCCTCACAAAATGAACAATGCAGTGTCCATGTGGGTTTTCGTCGGTTAGGGTAGGTCCGTTTTTTCCAGACTTGGAGACCAACACTCCCAGGCCAGGCACTTTAGTTTGAATCGCTCTACAGCTATGCTTGCCCCTCACTAATTTGTTAAACCCAGCACCCTCAAGACAAGCTCCCAAAACACCCTTCCTCTCTCTCCACCCCGCAACCCTAAACCCCCTTAACTTAAGAAATTGCCCCCAAGGGCACCTGTCTGGCTTCCTTTCCCAGGCGAGCCGACATGGCGGGCAAGGTCTCGAGCACGCTGGGCGCAGACCCCTGCAGAGACAGTCTCACGAGGACCCTCCAAGGAGCCCCTGCTCCCTAACAGTGGTTATTTGGGGTATAGCGGGCTAAGGTTCAGGGTTTAGTGTAACCGAGACCCTAGATAATCTACCTTTCTAGGGTCCCTTATGCTGTTTTCCTTGTAATAGTTCTGAAAAAAGCAGGTACCTAAGGTTCGAGGAAGGGGGTAAAGTCTAGGGCTCAGGGCTTTTGACGATTGGGTTTAGGACAGGTTATTGGGCAGCATGCTCCCGTTCTAAACCACAGTTTGCTTCTGTGGGTTCCTTAGAGGTTTCGAGAATAAACTCAACACTGGCAAGAGCGAATCCGAAACCTTGTCAGGGTTCTTATGAAGGAATTTACTTTATGTTCCCAAAATGCGGGTATATACCAAATGGTGTGTCTATATGTACATATTGTATGTATGTATATATATATATATATATATATATATATATATATATACATATGTATATGGAGTTTCCACATTATGGTAACTTAGATTGATTTCTTTAGCAGAAACCGCGATGTAGATTCCAATTGCCAAATCTTTCCTTCCAGAACCGCGGGTGCTTTTTCAAGAAACTGCTGACTACTAGGACCAGGCGCATGTGTGTCCTAGACATGAAACGGACAGGTTCACCACCCTAAACCCTAAACCCTAAACCCTAAACCCTAAACCCTAAACCCTAAACCCTAAACCCTAAACCCTAAACCATGGTTCACCGAACAAAAAACAGGAACTCGGAAAGTGAACCTAAAGGCCCTCCGTACTTGGAGGTTCATTCTAAGTTACAAGTGGGGTTATATAAGTCCCCCGAATATGGGGTATAAGTATATAGTTACCCTACTTATTTCCCTACTTATAACTACCCATGAACCTCCAATCCAAGCTCAAGCCCTAAACTAAACCCCAAATACCCTAAAACCAGCGAAGCCCTTCAGCCTAAACCGACTCCGACCCCCTGAAGTCCTAAAGCCCAAGCACCTAAACCTCTTAGAACCCTAAACCCCTAAACGCCTAAACCCTTAAACTCTTAAACCCCTTAACCCCAAACTCTATACGCCCTATAAACCCTAAACCCTTAAACCCCTAACCCCTAAACCCCCAAAGCACAAGCACCTAAGTCCCATAACCCTAAACCCTTAAACCCCTAACCCCTAAACCCCCAAAGCACAAGCACCTAATTGGCCTAAGTCCCTTAACCCTAAACCCCTAAACCCCAAAACCCCCTAAACCCCCAAAGCACAAGCACCTACTTGGCCTAAGTCCCTTAACCCTAAACCCCTAAACCCCAAAACCCCCTAAAACCCCCTAAACCCCAAAACCCCCAAAGCACAAGCTGCCCAGCTGGCCTTCATGACGGCAGCAGCCCAGATCGTACTCGTGAGCTCCTTATCAGTTCGAGCTACCCTTCTCTGTACCTACAGATCCGTTAAAGGGGTCTATAAGGGATCTATAGTATGGTTCTGGGTTTAGGGTTAGATATAGTTCAACAATTCAAGGGTCGGAAGTAGCAATAGCATCCCTTGAACAAATCTCCGTCGAATTATACTACAGTTCCCCTTAGTAGTTTCATGCCCCTACACAAAGCCCGGTAAAGACCTACGGAGCTGTCTTCAACAACCCTACTCTAGCTATTAAAGGCCGCCGTCGTACATCGTGACATCGTCGTGGAATCTTCGAGCTTACACTGTACAGGTCGTGCACCATCAAGCACGTGGATCACTCGGGCTGCGGCTTATTGGAACGCTCTTCGGACTTGTTTTTGTGAAATCTGTCGGAAAGGCCACCCCAAGCCAATTGCGAATCGGCACAGTATCTATAGGCTCTATGGTAGCTCCTTTTTGGGGCTCATATTTAGGATCCTAGAAGGTAATTAAATCCCAAAACGGAACTACTATGGAGCCTATGGGTAGCTAGAACTTAAGAGGAGCAACCGGCGAGGACGCAAAATTTATTGATATTCAAGGGTCCGCGTCTTTGCATTCAAGCATATAGTGGGCCTATTCCAAAGGGTCCTAGGTACTGGTATGGGGGGGGGTACTTCCCCAAATCAAAATAGTAATTACGTTTGTAGAAACCCTACATTCTACTACTTAGGTAAGTAGGGCCCTTTGGGCTTGTCTGTCTGGTTCTGGATCCCTGTAATAGTCCCCAAGAACATCCCCACGAATAGTCCCAATAACCCATTCCCCCATTCCCTACTAAGAACCAGACAGTAGACCTTAATTGAAACCCTAAACCCTTTATAAGGACCCTTTGGTACATAAGAACCAGACAGTAGACCTTAAGTGAAACCCTAAAACCGTTAAGGACCCTTTGGTATATTTGTGGTAAAGGTCCCGCGCGGTGAAGTCCGTGGACTTCTGGGCAATCCCTTTGACGATGGCGGGAACCATGTTGAGCACAACAGAGCTCTCCTACCACCAGGCGGAAGGGAAGCTCCACAGAGAGCCCAATACCCCTTAATTAAGGAATATATCTTACATCATTAGGGGCTTCATATTGTGATTAAGCTATATTCCTGAATTGAGAGGTATGGGGCTCTATGGGCTGGTGTATACTTGGAGGTTCCTGGGTAGTTATAAGTTATGAGTGGGGTTATAAGTAGGGTAACTATACTTATCACCCATATTGGGGGACTTATAAGCCCACTTCTAACTACCCATGAACCACCAAGTAGTCCTCCTTTGGAGAATGTTCAAACCGCTCGTTGAAGCTTGCTTGAGATTTGCTGTGCAAAAAGCTTGCCTACAGATGCCGGCTACGCCACGACTTGGTAACCCTAAACTCTAAACCCTGCTGCAAAAGAGCCTCTGACCCGAACGCACGACACCTTCAACCGACTGTAACTCCCGAAAGACTGGCACGCCTGAAGTCGAAACACGATGCCCCCGAAAACTCAGGAGCCCTAAAACAGAGGAAAAAACATGGCATCCTTATTCCCCCAAAGCCCATTCTATACTCACTGAAGCTCCTATCAAAAACCGAAAACTCGTACACAACATTCTGAAACACAACTAGTATTCTAACTATTCATGACCACCCTGCAGTAGGCTCTATTTTAACCGTATCAACTGCGCTATTGTTGACAACCAAGCCCGGGCAGCGGCGGACCCTTTGAGTGCAGGTTTGGTACCCGAGTTCCGGACCTATCAAACCCAGAAACCTCAATGCTGAAACCCGGTGAAAATTCTTGTAGGGCCTCAGAATTCCAGTATCACGGGGATTCTGAGCATACACACAGTTGCCGAGTTCATAAGCGCCAAAAAATCTAAAACATCAGTTCTAATTATAGAGGATTGCTTTCACTCAAAGAAGTGAAAAGTGCAGTCATGCAGCTACTCGATCAATCAGGCCGTTGGATCTGTCTGGGCCCCGGGGAATCGAAAACCTGGCTCCTCTTGCAGATTGGCCGCGGCCCAGAGGCAGTTGGACAAATGCTGAGGAGCCATACCTTCGGCTGGCACATGCTTTTTTGCACGCTCCTTCAGGTTCTTGTTCTGAAGGCCGGTTTTCGTCTGCATGGGCGGTCTACGGCCTGGAGTCTTTGGGTTAAGTTCTCTGACACTCACACTCGGACAAGCCTGGCAAGGTCTCTGACGGCGGCAAAGGCAAAGGAGGTTTGTGTGTGCTATCGAGAGTGAAGCACCTCACCCCGGTCCTTTAGGTGAAGTTTGGCATCCGAACACGACTCTCTGTAAGCAAAGGCTTCCAGCAAAGACCAAGCGATATAGAAGCCTGCTTAAATAGTATCGGGTTCTGGGGTCTAGCGCAGTAGAGTCAGATGCGGAATCAAAGCGAGTACCATTTAAACAGCCCAGTCTATAAACCCCAAAACCCTCAACCCTTTGTGTTCAGAATCAGGGCTCGGGGTATGTTTCATGAGGATGATAACCTGAACCCCAACACTCCACATGTACAAAAGCCGAAACCTTCGTTGCTCAGTTCACAACTCCCCAAAAGTCCCTAAACCCTAAAGCCGAAACCACTTCCCTCCCCGCCAAAGGTCGGTCCACGACGAACGGAACCCGCTCCACCATCGAGGGAACTGCGCTTAGCACCTCTTCAGAGCCGTTTCGGGAGCTTCTGGTTCAGCTTACGGGCCTTAACAATGAGAATACAGCTTTGGGGTATGCTCTACGATAATTATAAAAAGGAAGTCCCAAACTAGCATTGGTAACTATTTTGGCTCGTAAGCCGCAATATTAAGGCTTTAGGAGTTGAAGGGTGCTTTGCGGGGTTGACTTATGGGAGAAATTGCTTCAGAGACCTTCTTGCATCCTCTGCTGGGAAGTAAATGCTTCATGGACCTACTTTCCGATGACCTCGGAAAGAATGCCTGAATCTCCTAATATGCGGTGTCTGACCTACTTATAGTCATCGTCCCAGTATAATGCAGATAACGCGGAACCAGGCGGCACATCCTGAGATCCGAAAGCCGGAGGCCGGCCCATAAACCCACGTGGAGTTGCCAATTCCAACCCCTTAACTAGATGCTTTAAACCACTAAAATTGGAGTTTCGGTGTGTATTCTAGCAGAAGCTCAAGGAATCCTGAGGAATGCGTTGGACCATGCCTGAAATTAGACAGGGCCAAACTTTCTGATTCGATTTGCATTCCTTGATTAAGTAAGTCGTATTGTGCTCTCGGGACAAGGCCCCAACGAACCTGCAGACAAACCAAGGCCGATGAATCCCAAACAATAGCCCGCAGACGATACTATAGCCTCCGTAACCATAGGAAAAACTCTAAGGGCAGGAGATATTGTTACCGATGTTTGAAGCCTCGATGCTGTGCCCCTGGAAGGTTTAGGCGTTGTGCAGGATGTCAGGTGGTGTTGAGTGGGATGTTCGCAGGGCTTATAAAGAGTTTCAACAAGGTTCTACGGCAACTCATGTACAGTAGAAGCCAGAAAGTTGGAACATTGTTATCCTCATTCCCTTAAGGTAAAGTAGAGGAAATCCCAGCACTAATCGTCCTAAGTCCATGTTCCAACTTTCTGGGGTTCACTATAACCCTAAACCCTAAACCCTAAACCGTTGCAGAAGTCTAAGGCCCCAAGAGGAGTGAGGGGATTCGGTTCCTAATCCTACACTGTGCTTAGAGACTGTTTGGAGGGTCTACCCATAGGCCCCAAAGTAGTTCCTTTTTCAGAATACCTAATAGGATTCTATATATGAACCCCCAAAAGGAACTACTTTGGGGCCTTAGGGTAACCCCACAAACACAAAAAAAACATAACTACCTCCCGATGTCCACAAACATTTCAAAGCAGCCCACCTCGGGCAATTCCTCTCTCAACTTGACAGCTGCCCAGAGGCAGTTGGACAAATCCTGGGTCGACTATAAGGACGGCAGGAAACATGATTTTTTGGCTCCGCTTTAAAAAATACAAAGACAAGGATGACAAACAACATGAAGAATGTCCAAAATTGACCAAGCGTCCTGGGGAATCATGCCTCTTGATCTCTCCTGCAGCTCACGTTTAGGAGGCCTTGTGGCCCTTTAACGTCGATATCCTGTTCTGCCGAAGTCAGTTCATGGCATGAACACGCATGAACAGTAGGCGCATCATGATTACGTACCTTCTTCAGAAACGTGGAAGAGGAGCGGTCCGGTTTGGAGTTGTCGCGTGGAGAATTGCGGGTGCCGAGCTCGGGTGGAGGAAATGAATGCCGTAAAACACCAACTGTCTTCGAACGAAGATGCAGGCATCTTCGTGTGTACGGAAGTATCAGGTGACGGTTTGAGCTCTTGTGGGGTTGAGAAGCTGGAGCGAAAAATTGGGTTCGAGATGCTGCCAAGCACAATCATGCACTTGACGGTCACACACACAGAACAGCTGCAGAAAGCTGCCCGCAGCCAGGCCCCAACCCCCGAACCCTTGAAAGTAGCAACATAGGGCCTGTGAAGCCCGAATGAGTGCCCGCCATCTCTAAGCCCATATAGGATCAGGACCGTAGTGCTAAGAATGTGGCTTGGGGGTCTAGCAAAGTCTCACTAAACGGAACCTACCGGCCTTGACAGACATCCTTATCTGCGATTCGGTGATTGTCTTCGTAGAGCTTGGAAAGTTCTAGCATTCTCTGCTAGGACCTCATGTCTGATTCTAACCTTTCATTTACGAAGAGGATGGACGAACTTTTACTAACCAGTGGTTTTGTGGGCTCCATGGCTCTTTAGCTCCTTATTTAATAGGGACTATCATCATCCCTGGCTCCTTAGCTCCTCCAATATCAATGGTTAGTCTATGCAAACAGCTGACGTTCTCAGCCCGACTTCAACGGAATATCACCTCGAAGGTCTACGGTCTACCTTAGAAGCTGCCCCAACCCTGCAATAGTGATCATAAGGATTATATAGGATTATATTAGGGCCCTATTATATTCCTATTATACCACTATTACAGGGTGGGGCCCATACTCAGGTAAGTTGTAGTTAGACCCTGAGCTCCTATGTAGACCCCAAGACTTACATACCTGACCCCCTTTTTTCAGACAGGTCTCCTCGCACCGGAAACCGAAACCCTCAAACCCGAAACTTCATGAAATGGACTTATACACGGAATCTTTTCCGCGGACCCAAGTTAGGGGCATACTGAGCATAGTCTAGCTTCGAAGCCTACAACCCCTACAGTTCGCCAAGCAACCGCGATGCGCTGCACAAGGCTGGGAACAGCTCCGAGCACTTCCGGCGCCGCAGCGGCAAGATGAGCCGACGCCCAAAAAGAGTTGGAAAGCTCTTGCAGGTTAAAGTCCATCACCTTGCCAAGGTTATTACGAGAAGGCCATCGAGGGTCCTGCTATGTAATACTTGATGTGTTAGGGTTTATGGTTTAGGGTTCAGACTTTTAGGATCTACTTCCTATGCTTACTTGGGTGAACGGACTTTCTGAAGGAAACCAGCTTTGCTCCCCCCACCTTGCTTGGTATCTGCTCTGCAATCGCAGGAACGGCTCCGGCCGCCTCGGGCACGACTCCTCAGGGACTGAATACCCAGAGACTCCAATATCCCTTAATCAAGGAATAGACCTGAAATTAGAGGAGGATCGGACCTAATATGATTTAAGGTATATCCCTGAATTCAGGGATATACCTTAAATTCGCCTCGGCCCTGGTGGAAGCGGTCAGAGGTTCCTATTCGGATTCCTTCTATTCCCCACCTCTTAATCCCCTCCCCAGTGACCCCACCCCCAAAATTCGCGCCACGCGCCCCCCCCCCCCGCTTAAAAATGGAAACGTGTCGATTAGCCCCAAGGTCCGGTGGTGAATTCTCTCCTCCACTAGATTTTGGCTGTCTGTAGGCAGTCCCACCCAATTTCCTCCTTTTCGCCCCAACCCCCCCCCCCCCCCCCCCCCCCCCCCCCCCCCCCCCCCCCCCCCCCCCCCCCCCCCCCCCCCCCCCCCCCCCCCCCCCCCCGCTCCCCCCTGCCCCCCTCCAGGCAAAGTTCGGAAATAGCGTTGCTTTGGGCAGCACAGCACGCGGCTCCACGACCTAACCTTCTCATAGCATCGGAGATTCAAGCATCGCTATCGCCAGCTAGGGGCTATGTCGAATATCAGGCACAGAACGCGGAGATGCTACAATGGTTACATCAACCTCTTGCTGCCTTCTTGAGACAAGCCCTCTGCCTTACGCTGCTCTGCCCTGCTTTGCCCTGCCCTACAATTAATACAAGTGCGATTCCAACTGTTGTTATTTTCGTACAAGAGCTTCCTGCTGCGCCGGATGGTAGCCAGTCGCCGCATGCGCGAAAAGCCGGGCCGAGGCGGACGACGCGAAGCGTTTCAAATTATAGTAGGATCCCTTATATGTTTTGAGGTAGATTCCTTAATTAAGAGATATTGGAGTCTCTGAACACCCTAGGCTCCCCAAAAAAGGCTTCGGCGCCCACAGCAGTCAAGTGCTCACAAATTCGTAGGATTATATGGGAGTTTCCGAAAAAAGGTACCCTAATAATACAGTACCCTAAATATTAGGATCCTTATTTGAAGGACCCCTCAGAAAGGTACCCCTAATTTTCGGAAACCCCCATATTCACACCCAAAACCCCACAAAACCCTGAAAGCCAAAAGCTTCCGCTACCAGTGCTCCTCGCATCTTCGCCGCCGCCCAGAGGCAGTTTGACAAGCCCTGGGGAATCATGTCTCCAGCCTTGGCAGCTTGAAGACTCATGGGACTTAGTAAGTAAGAGCTCTTAAAGGGCTCCTTAAAGGGATCTATAGGGCTCCTTAAAGGGATCTATATGGGGTTTAGGGTTTAGGGTCTACTTGAAGGCTCATGGGACTTAGTAAGTAAGGTTATAAGTAGGTTATAATTAGGATAACCCCACTTAGGGGACTTATAACCCCAATTATAACCTACTTACTAAGTCCCATGATACTCTAAGAGGGCAAACAACCTTTTGCATCCGGGCTTGGGAAGTCGGCCGGGGAAGGTGAAAGAGGGCAAACAAGCTAACTTGGGAAGCCAAGGGCATTCTGGGGTGTTTAGACTTGTTTAGAGTTTAGGGGTTGGGGTTTAGGGCTGTAAGGTATTATGAAGGGTTTTCGGGACTGACGTGGAAGCCTGATTAAAAAAAACCGCTGGTTCTCAAAAATATTCTTGATATGGGCTATGAAAATTATAAAACCGCGGGCTTCTATTCAGGTTTGCACACAGCTGCCAATGCCCCATTTACATGCATATATTTATCAAAATGATGAGATGCAGCTGGCTGAATTTCGGCCATAGAAAACACAAGGTATTGCTGTTACTTCTCCCTGCTCCGAAACACATGGGTGTTCGGCCGGCCCTTTAGCCATGCCTAGCTAATTACCTGACCCCTAAATCCTACGTTACACCTTGCACCTGGCACAACTATAGGACAAGTCAAACTTCGAAGGTGTAGTACAGTTAAGTCCCCATGGGAATATGGCTACAGCTTGCATTCATAGTCCTGACGACCTGCAGCTGAAATCCTGCATCACCGAACCGAGTTTGCAAAAGTCACGCAAGCCCTCGAAGTCCGAATCCCGACCCAGAGAGCCCAATACCCCTTAATTAAGGAATATAGCTTAAATCTTAATTAAGGAATATAGCTTAAATCATATAATATGAAGCCCCTAATGGTTTAAGGAAAAAGTCCTTAATTAAGGGGTATTGGGCTCTCTGGGTTTGTAAAAGTCATGCAAGACCCCGTTGCCCGAAGCCCGATGCAAATCCGATCAGTTCATGATGGGAGGCCCAAAGGGGGGGTTTAAGATTCTCGGGGTAGGGATTCCTTAATATGAACCCTACTATGGGAACCCTGATCCCTGCTAAACCCCTATAGGCTAACACCCCTTTTGGCCTCCTATGACCGAAGTCCGAAGCCCGATGCAAATCCGATCAGCCCAGACGGCCCAAGACCCCTTAAGTAAGGAATTCTTCCTTAACTCATTAGGGGCTTCATATTATAGGATTTAAGCTATATTCCTTAATTAAGACTTAAATTTAAGCCATATTCCTTAATTAAGGGGTATTGAGCTCTCTGGGAGTTCCGCCCCGCGCCAGCCTTCTCTCGGACGGCGTCTACCAGCTCAGGGAAGAGCGGTGCATCTTCGTCCCCAATCTCCTCGTGAAGCACCTCTCTAGAGGCTGTGGCCCGAGCCGCGCTATGTAGAATAATAGCCTTTTCTAGGTTTCGGGCCATTATTTTACCTACTTTTGAGGGCCTGGGTAGGGTATCTTCGGGTTTTGGGGTTGTCCCGAAGCCCTGAACCGATAGTCGTAGCCCCAAAGAGCTCCCAAGCCCCCTGTAGACACATTACTAAAACTTAACAGTGGTTGGGGTTCAGGGTTCAGGGTTTAGGGGGTGGCCTGAAAGTCATAAGTCCTCAACCCAAAGCACCGAAGACCTCAATTCAGAGCCTAGGATTCTCGGACATGGCGCGGCCACGGCCCAAAAGACGTTTGCCACGTTCCGGGAGGGCAAAGCATCCTCATGTTCTAGGGTTTAAGGTTAATTAGGGTTTTTTTGACACTCACTCTCGGACAAGCCTGGGGGTTTAGGGTTTAAGAGTCGGACAGCCTGTTGCCTTCAACCTTGACTTTCCTTATGGTCATACGGCTAAAGAGCTATTAAAGTCGCTGCTACTACTATGATTACTCTTAGTGTTGCCAATGTGATGAGAATCACTTTTGCTGCTGCTATTACAGGCATTGCTGCTAGCAATAGTGCTTCTGGTTCTCCACGGCGAGTATTCGGCTTCGTTACACCGGTGACTATTGCTCTTACTACCAAGCATGAGCGCATATGAACGCATTTGTATTGTCTTAACCAACAATCTTAACATGGTAGATGGGGTCTCGTTATCTCAGGCACTGTTGCTTGGCATAGTGGCTATTGTCGGGGCTGCCTTCGTTGTTGCCGATGCCATCATCACCATGCTAGGGTGTGTTAAGGTTGAGGGCGTCCAGCGTATGGACTACAAAAAAAAAAGCAATCAGAAGGCACAGCATAAAACCTGAGCCGGGGTAGACATCCGGATGGCTCAAGGAGCATGAAAACCCTAAACCCTAAAGCCTAAACCCATGAACTGTCAGCACAACGTATATGAATCCTAAACCTCAGACCCTAGGGTTTAGGCCCGACTCGCTTGGATCGAAGGCTCTTGTTGACCTCTCACAAAACATTTCTGAAACACAACAATCTTGCAAAATCCCAGGGCAGAATTCATACTCCTATACACTTCGAACGGCACAAACCCACTGCAAACCCAACACCCTAAACCCTAAACTCTAAACCCTAAATGCTACACCCTAAAATCCTAAACCCTAAATCCTAAACCCTCAACTCTAAATCCTAAACCCGAAAAAACCCCACACCCTACCGAGCTCCTCCTGGAGCATCCTGCGAATCCTGGCCATCAGCCTGGGTCCCAGTCACTGCTTGGAGGGTCGGGGGACTTAGCAAGTAGTTATTTTAGAGACTTATAAGTACCGTAACCATAACCCCAATCAGGGTCCCGTTTCAGGCACTTATAAGTCTACTTATAACCTATACTTACTAAGTCCCCCGACCCTCCAAGTGTGGAAGTGACACAGAGGCCCTGCTTGGAGGTTCATGGATAGTTCTAAGGGTCCCTTTGAAGGGTCCCTTTAAAGGGATCTATAGGGAATCTATAAGGGTACAGGGTTTAGTTTAGGGTCTACTTGGAGGTTCATGGGTAGTTACTAGACTTATGAACCATATCAGTGGACTTATAACCATGGAGAAACTGCCCATGAACCTCCAAGTAATGATTAGGTCTTGGGCTATAGAAAGCCATAATTGTGAGTAAGGAGCCCTCAGGACGAATATAGCAAACCTTATTCCGGCTCCTGTATTGACCAGTGATTTGGGTTTACGGGTCTCGAGCAGATAGTGGGCACGGGTCTGCATGAGTCTGCTGAACGGTCTGCTCAGACAAAGCCATCTCCCTCTCTCTCTCTCTCTCTCTCTCTCTCGCTCTTTCCTCTTTGCTCCTATCTCTCTATCTTCCCTTATTGAACAAAATACCCCCTAGAACATACCGGGTTGAGAAACCACGGCGCTATTCGGTTCGTAGAGGCCTGGATAATCAGAGGAAGGTTGTGGGGTATAGTATGGCAGAAGTCATATTCCGACCTATCAGGGAATATTGGTACTATGCATGCCGACACCCTTCCCCTCTATCTAAACTCCAATCCTCTTAAACCTAGGTTTTCTGAGCAGGAACTGCATTGCAGTAAGCCCGGAATCTCTTCAGCCACTACAACTCTAAACCCTACACCCCCTAAATTTAACCTAAACCCTAAACCACCGAAAGCCCCGAACCCAAACCCTAAACCCCCAACACCCAACCCTCTAAACCCCCAAAACCCAAACCAGCAAAACCCTAAACCCGTTACTGTACACCCCCAAAGCCCCCCCCCCCCCCCATAGGTGCCTGGGCCACACTGGGCTTCTCGCATCCTCGGGTCTCAGCTGACCCTTCTTTTGGAACTTGGCGAGCTTGCTCCTGACTCAGCTGGAAGGCGTATGTACACATGTATATGTGTGTATGTAGAGAGACAGATAGATAGATAGACGGGTGGTTGTCAAAATTATGATCCCTTTTTTGGTCCCGAATATAGTACGGCACCTAATATTTAGGGTACCCAAAAAGGGACCATAAGGTTGACAGCCACCCAGATAGAAAGATAGCTTTGATATGGAGGGGAGAGAGAGAGAGAGAGAGAGAGAGAGAGAGAGAGAGAGAGAGAGAGACAGAGAAAGATAAAACCGCTTGAGGGATGATTTTACAGAGCCTACACACATTTTGTTGACCTGCAACAAGGCGAGTGTATAGGAAGCAAGGGCTCTCCATTTCTGACATTGCCAAGATTTCCAGACCTCCAGGTTAACTTCAGGATCATGTCTCATGTTTGTGCCTCTTCATGGATACGATTAGGGAACTGGGGCGTAAGTTTAGGTGTACGTCTTTCCTGCCGGGTGATGAGGAGCAAACAAGGGTTGAAGAATGATGATACTGGTAATTTCGGGTGCCACCCTGCTCCACAACTTCTGCAAGTTTGACGCAAGTCCTGTAGCTGTTATGCGACGAGGTTTAAACTGAAAACCAAGGTGTAAGTGTAGAGAAACGACACGGACTGCAGCTGGCCAAAAGCCTAAATCGAGGCCGTAGCTATGAAACTCTGCAGATCCTCACCTGCTATTCACATCGGTGCTGACCGTGATAATCGAAATGCGTTGGTGGCCATTCGATCATGACGGCTGCGCGATGATGATGGCGACACTAAGGGGGATGACTAGCTAATACAAATGAGCAGCTCGCATTTTTACAAACGAAAAAAAAAGATACCTTGGACTGCAGTGGTCTTGGCCTTCACATCTTCACACCACAACTGCAGAAACTCCCTACAGCAATCTTTCTAGTAAACATGATATAACCCGTGGAAGAAGTCACTGGAAGCTCAAAGAAACAGCTGACATATACCTTAACACGATCCTAACCCAATCCCCTTACCCAAATCCTAACACGGTTTTGCCTAAACCGCAAATCCTAAACCCGTGAATCCCAAACCCTAAACCCTATAAATCCGAAACCCCACAATCCTAAACCCACGGAATCCTCAGGCCCAGCGAAGAACGACCGAGGAGCAAGGCGGCTGACACGTGGAACTCGTTGAAGCCCCTCATGTCGACGGCTGGAGCCAGAAGGCCTGTGGGATATTGCTTAATACCTAGAATAGGGTTCCTTCAAAGCGTTCCGTTAAGCGATACTATAAGGGCACTATGTAGGGGCCTTAATCATTAGACTAGGGTTTTGGGCTCCTTTATAGTAGAGTTCAAATAAGCAGCCCTACTGACGGGTATTGGCCATTGTTTAGGCTTCTATAGTAGGGGTTTGGGGCTTAGGGGATTAAATTAGGGTTTTAAGGTTCAGGGTTCAGGATGTCATCGGGATGGGATATGGGTGGTTCTCAAAATTATGGTCCCTTCTTGGGTCCGTATTAGAATGCGGCACCTATTATTCAGGATATGCAAAAAGGGACCATAATTTTGACAACCACCCATATGAGCGTAGGGCTTAGGGGTTGGGGCTAGGGGATGGAGGCTTTATGGTTTTAGGGGTTCCTGGCCCAGGAGGTGTATGGGATATGAGTTTCGGGTAGTTTCAGGTTGTAGGGCAGGGGTGGGTTTAGGGGCCAGGGATTCAAGGTGCGGGGGTCTGGGGTTTAGGAGTAAAGGGCTTTTTGTAAGCCTTCACTGATCAGCATCGGCCAGGCATGTCAGCAGCAAACCGGTTTGGGGTTCGAGATTTAGGTTCTTCATGGATCAGTCATGATCAGTGGGCTATAAAGCTCTCACTGTAAAAGGGGACAGTGCGCCGAACCTCCGCGGAAAGCACTTACAAGGGCAAAGAGCCCGAAACCCCCAACCCTAAGCGCTTCAACGCTAAACCGCTAAACATCCCGGTACTCTCCATTGTAGTTATATATCTAGGATCCCATAAAATAAACCCAACAAGAAACTACAATGGATACTATAGGTCACTGAAATTAAAAGTCAGTTGCAAAAGCAAACTCGTCGAGGGCAACAGACAACGAGACGGCCATCTCTGTAACCACAGGGTATCATGAAGTAAGCAACTGCGTAAGGGCATGAAGTACTGAAGTACTTTTTGCCCTCTCGCATGGCCAAAGGCTTATGCCCAGACGCGAGGTTATGTACTTGGGCATCAAATTTTGGGTTAAGGGCTAGGGGTTTAGGGTCCAGGTTTCTAGGTAGCCCCTCTTCAACAAGGGTACCCTTTTCCTAGTATTATCAGGGGACCCTGAAGTGAACAACGGGCAAAAGGCTACTACGCAGGAACCTCGGGGCTCTCTCCGTTGGGTTCCAAGCGGCTGAGGAGAGCCGCGGCTGACTTGGTGTCCGAGATGTCAGAAGTCAAGTGACGAGGGTTGAGGGCGCCAGCTGGCAGAGTCTCAGCAGCAGGTTTTCAGGTTTAGGGTTCCGAGATTTTAGGGATAGGTGCTAGGGGCGCTTAGGGTTTTGGGACTTTTTGAGTTGAGGGTGATCTGTAAGGCACATGGCTTGTTTCTAGCAGCTTCAGGGTTTTGTGAAATCTTGGGCTGAACCCAGAGACTCCAATATCCCTTTATTACGGAATATACCTTAAATTATAGTAGGATCCCTAACATGATTTAAGGTATATTCCTGAATTAAGGGATATTGGAGTCTCTGCGAATGTCGAAGCCACAGCGCACAGCTCGTAAACGACCCCACGAGCTCGGTCTTGAGACGAACACCATGAGGACGAAACCCTAGACGTCCTAGGCCCCAAACCGCTAAACCCGAAACCCACTTAAAAGCTGTGAAACCAAGAACCCGAGTCGTTGAGAAATTGATTTGATCTGGGGGAGTGCGTCTCCGGATTTGAGACACAGCGCTGGATGTGAAATACAGGAGCGGCCTTAATAATAAGAACGGGTTCCAGAAAGGGGTTGCCTTCAAAAGGTTATGTAAGCGTTGCTATGAGGGGGATGTCATTTTTACTTCTCAGACCTCTACAGTAAAAGCTGAGATGCACTCCTGTTTTGGTACGGCCAGTATGGGTCTACTTCAGCGTCCACACTAGGGTCCCTATTCTGAAGCAGCTTGTGTCCCGGAAAAAGGAGAACACGGACCTCAGCCCAGGCAGTCCAGCTTAAACACCCCATGCCGCGCACTCTACCCACCCAAGTCTCTCCGCAATAACAGTCTATTGTAGAAGGGGCCCCCACCCTGTAATAGTGGTATAATAGGAGTATAATAGGGCCCTAATATAATCCTTATAGTCACTATTACAGGGTGGGGGGGGCAGCTTCTAAAGTCTATTATAAAATACTCACGGCAAGATATCTTGAATCGGCCTGCAGCTCTGCAGATCTATGACTCTGCAAAGACTCATTCTTCGAACTCAAGGAACTCGATCCCCTGATTCCTGTAGCTATGCACTTATAACGGCTGAGCATCCTGGCAAAACAAGTTGACTTTTTTGACATGAAGGTGGGATTTTCAGCATCCCAAAAGGCTAAAGGATACGTACGCAGCCACTGAGGAAAAGGACTCATGAGCCTGAGCCCCTTGAAGAAAGACTGTTACTGAGTTGTCCTTTATGCCCTTTGAAGATAATTTACTAGTATGGTTCTCTACACAATAGTAGGGGACATGCAAAAAGATCCTCTGAACCCTAAACCCCTAAACCCTAAACCCAGGTTAAAATCGAGGCACCGCTGTTGACGCGCCCGGGCCTCCCCTTCTTCCGGACTGCCGAAGGCCTGGGCCGCTGCGCCTCGAACAAACGGCTGGCTGATGGACAAAATACTTTTCAAGTGTTCAGGTTTAAGACTTCAGGGTTGAATATTGAGATACCTCAAACTACGGTTGATGATATAAATCCTGCATGACCCATAAAAGGGAATATATGGGAATTATGGTATATTCCTTATTATGGGTAATGCAGGATTTATATCATCAACCGTATGGGTCATATAGCATCTTCCTCTTTAACGGCAATGCAGGCTTGGTACACTCAACCGTACATGTTGTCCCTGGTAATTTCTGATCTGCTTTATACTTTGTCCTGAACAACCTCGCACGTTCTGACAGCGTGCTTTACAGTGTGGTAGTGCAGCATAAACTCTTCCGTCTCTTTCGTTTGTTTCTCTCTCCGCGTGTGCTGGAGCTTTCGAGGCCGAAGCTCTACAACAGGCAGTGGATGAACATCACTCCTAAGCGCTTTGGTGCGCTAGTCATTCAAAATCACCACCAATAAGCTCCAACAGCCGGTAGCAAGGCAGCATTCAATCTCATCAAGCACATACTCACCTCAAAAAATCAGGTCGGGAATTCGGGGTTTAGGGTTTAGGTGTGTATGTTTTAGTTTTAGTTTTATTTTTAGCCCTCTATTCCTCTGCCCGGTTTAGGAGTTTAGGGCTTAGGGTTTTACATGTTCTGGCGGCATGATAAGTACATTAAAAGGTTTTCAAGGCGCAGACTGCACTCCCAGAGAGCCCAATACCCCTTAATTAAGGAAGGATTGTTTCCTTAAAACATTAGGGGCTTCATACTCCTTAATTGAGGGGCAGAGGGCTCGCTCGGCTCTAAGCTGGCAAAACGGTACCCTGGAGCCCACGAGGACGAGCATCCATCCCAATACTGAGCAGTAATATAGGGGCCTTCATGATTAGAATTGGGTTTTGCGGGGTATATTATAAATATAAATATAACAAGGAACCCCAAGAATAGTACAGGCCCCTGGAGCAGCTATTCAGCTTTGTGGTCCATTTATAATGTAGGGGCATGAACCAGTAGAATACGGGCTTGGTGTCCATTGCAGCTCTTGCTTAAGAACGAGCGCCAAGGTCTAGTATTACTGAATATTCAACTTTTCTTCATCAGCAGCACGGCCTCCCCTTCGCCGTGGGTGGGCGAGCCCTGACAGATCTGCAGCCAACCGCCGCCTGCGCTGCCGTGCAGTCGCAATGACTTCTCTGTCCTCAGCTATGGCATCAGGCTGGTTCAGGCCTACTATTTGCTTAAGAAACCCCCAAAAAATAAAAAATAATAATCCCTATATTACCACCATAAGGAATATATTTTTTATTTTTTGGGGGTTCTTAAGCAACTAGTAGAGGCTTTCATGGCCCTAAGCCCCAACCCCGAAACTCACCAAACTTCTGACTGGCATTTATCGACCGCAGCGCAGAACAAAGTACATTCTGCTTGCTTCTCCTATGCAGATAGAATATGTCACTATGGTACCTTGCTCGGGGATCCTTCTCAACATGACCCTATGAATGAGGGTTCTATATTGGCCTCCTACATTCGGAGACTGCCATATGCAATCTTGGCCAAAGCCACGTATTTTGCTTTTGTGTAACTAAGTAAGTCCGAATGCTTGCAGCCTGAACGTCACTGGGAGCATGCAGGAGCTAATTACTCCTTACACTTGCGAGATCTGGGAGTGTCATTTCTTGAACACCTCTTCAAGATTCACACCCCTCCCTGCACAAAAAGGCCGAAGCACCCAGGGAGGTTGCGCCAACCTTAGCCGGCGGCATGGCTATAGCAAAGCCGTAGACCCTATAAACCCCAAACCCTAAACCGCAAAAGGTCAGATATCAACGATGCGCTTGGTCCCTGACACCAGCCCTGAGACTCCTGAGCCTCCTGATCACGGAATAGACCTCAACTTATGGGGGGGGTGGGGGTGGGGGGGAAGGGGATTCAGATTACGATTTAAGGTATCTTCCTTAATTTAACGGGGCTGATTATTTCGGCCTGTGGCCCCTTCAGACTCCAGGAAACTATGCCCCGCCCAGTGATGAACACCCGGAACCATGAGTTTGGAGTGTGTGTGTGTGTGTATGTATGTGGAAGTGAGATTCCGAGATCCCAAAATCGAACGAGAACACCTTGTAGAACTCCCATGGGACCCTCTCAGGAACACTATCCCAAGCCCTGCAAAATCTACAGCAGTCCCTCGATAGAAACCCTTGCAACCACCCCCAATCCAAAGCACCCTAAAATCTGTAATCGGAAACTTTGTACAACTCCCATTGCACCCTCTGAAGAACCCCATAAAGAAACCTTTCAACCACCCCCAAAACTACGCGCCCAGGAGCGACAGCTCTGAGGATGAGTTCGGCTTC